CAAACGCTCCCCATTTTTTCCAAATTGCGCTATCTGAGCCCATGACTAACCTTCGTCTATCAGTTTTCTGTTTGGCGGAACCGTCACATTGTGCGTCGGGCCATATGGGAAAAGAATGGAGATTCATAAAAATCTTCTCGCAGGCCTATCCGGAGAGCTCAAAAAACAAGTCAACAACATGAGAGAGGGTGTCGAGGCCATAATCCGTTTACCGTGCGAGGGAGAAGAGACGATAGCACATTTTACCGAATGGGCATACACCGGAGAATACGCTCTCACTCTCCCTCCCGCCAACATGAACAGCTCCAGGGCGCCGAGAAAGGATCCATGGTCGAATCTTCACAAACACCTTCAGATCTACGTATTCTCGATCAAATTCAACATACCCGTCCTAAAGACACTCGCAGAATCGAAATTTCACAGCGAGATCAAACCCCTCCGCCCAAATGGAAATGAAGACGTGGCCGGCCTTGTCGAGCTGATATACCATGCATATGGAAACCTTCCCAGATCAGATCCGATCCTGAAATTTCTGACGCAATACGCTTCTTGGAAGTTGGAGTTGCTACGCCCGTCGGGGAGATTCCAAAGATTGATGTTGCAGCGACCGGTGTTCCTGCAAGATTTGCTCATGAATTTGAAGGGGCCGAGAACTAAGCCTAAGCCCGCGGCAAGGCAAACCCAGCAGACACTCTATAGGTCAGAGAGTGTAGAGACTGAATATTCTGAGCTAAGCGAGTTCTAGCTTGGTGCTAAAGGCCCGAACTGTGGCTCCCAGTACCCAATTTTCATCTCTTTTGTTCTAATGAATACATTTAATACTCTCTCCTTCTCTCAACAACCCCCCTTAACCTGAACAGGGATGCAAAATCTATCAGGCTTAACATCTTATGGGGCAGCAGAGCCCAAGCTACAGTACCAGAACCTCCGCATTGTAGCAAGAGCCCTTCGTCCATAACTCATATCAACACATTCTCTTGCCAAACCACATACATAATCTGGCTTCTTATATTATCACTCGTTTCTCAGACTTTGAAATTTGTTGAATGTTTGTGCGTAGGAGCCGCAAGCACCCAGGAATTTACATAAGTGCTTACTAATTTCTCATGTCCTGGTTTCTGTGTTGCTACCTTGTGTTTGGCTTTTGTTCCGTTTTGTTTTCTTTTCTCATCCGCAACAACCAACACAATTAATTCTCTTTGGCTTCTTCCTTGCTGTTTCGCTCCGCTCTGCATAACCATTACATCTCCTTCTTTTCTCTCTCTTTGCTCCACTCCCTGTACACAAGACCAATACCATTCTCTCCTTCGGTATTCACTCGCTCTCGTTTCGTAAAACCTCTACAAAATCGACCGCAATTTTTCAACAAAATAAATCACCCTCCAGTGCCCCTCCACTTCTGTAGACTATCATACCGAGTATACATGAAGGTGACCAAATAACATGACATAAAACTCCTCTGCCCCCCCTCTCAAATCTTGATAACAGCACCTCTTCTCCGCAATTTTATTTTAAGACCCACCCCCCCCCCTCTTGCCCCCCATGAAAGCACCGCGCAAAAGCCCACAAATATTCGCTTGCACAGTTTCTCCCCCATTGCCCCTAAGCGCGCCTGCTACCAGACCATCGCCCGAATATTTCCGCGATCCCAAAGACTCGTTTGAATATATTATCTACCAAAGAGTCAAGGCAAAAAAAGGATTAAGTACTAAACCTATAGTGATGGGATTCCAAATCACCCGATACACGACATAGGGAACAAGCTATCTCATGCAGACTAACCCGCAAGGGTTCATTGCCCCGCAACCACCCCGGCCCTACTGAACCCCTGCCCAGGAGCCACTGATGATATTTTATTCCCTCTTTCCCTCTATAACCTTCCATAACCTGCGCAACATTACAAAATCTATCAGTTCCGGCATCGTATGGAGCAGTGTAGGCTTAACTGCAGTACTCGTGACATATCTTTCTCGCAGCGATAGCCTATAATTCACACTAACGCAAGCATCGACCACATCTCCACAATCGTATATCACAAGCCAACAACAAGCCATAAAACTAGCCCATGTTAGATACCACTCCATATATTCCCACTCTGCTCTACCTTCTAAGACCCCCAGATAAAAATCTACGAGTCATGATGTGTAGTGTCACCACTAGCTATACTCTCCAACTTAACGCTTCATGCCACACAACGCCCTTAGCAGAAAATTTTAAGGGGGTGTTTGGCAGGCCAAGAAGCTTCAAGGTAAGTCAGCAAAGTCCACCCAGGAAACACCGGGTTACCCTCTCGCTTCCTCCATTCCTCAAAGTACTAAGAGCCAAAAAAAAAAAAGACGCACGGAACTTCGGTAATACAAAAAGCCCGTGAGGGGGTTAAATTTTCAAGGCATGACTTTCCCATCCACGGATCGTATCAAGGCATCACCACATATCAGCACCAGACATGTCAGTGACGTTACATGAACCACTCCATCAGCCAAAGCCCCATGGAAGAAAATTCCTCCTTGAAACTCTTGAAGCAGAAGTCGATAAGACAATATATCCCAGTTACCTCTCTAATGTTTCCCCCACCGCCCAGCGTGAACCTTTCTGCACTTTCGCACCCCATATACCCAGAACGGCCCATTATCTTTGAAGCAGTTTCGCTTAGTGTGATCCGCCCGAAACCTCCCCAGGAGTATCCAGTGCATCCCTAGGCCAACGTGCAAAACAGAGTTGACATTCCTCTATACCTACCAAGCCGCCATCCCCGGCGATCGGATAGCAAATGAACCAGGTTGTAATGTATCTGCCCCATGCAGGGCGGCTCTCCGGGTAGGCACTTTACACCGGAATCCACAAATCCAGATGACCTGCTACCATACATACACTATAATAATGAAGGCAAATTATCTGATAACTCTTCTCAAGGGTTATGTGTGCGAGTGGCCTCTTCCTCCTCATTACCTATAAGGTATTAGTATGGGATGATTAGGAAAGTGTGACTCAAAAACCGTTTTTTCGGTTGGCTTTGATGTCCATTGTTCCAAGTTCCCCTTGTTGTACCGTTGCCGCTCGCCAGATATTGCTCCGTTGGGATTAGCCACCCGGTATTCAGCCTTTCACGGGTAGTTCTTCCCGTGACTTACTTCTCCCTTTGTACCTACCCATTCCCATTCCATATACTATACTCGATACTATATACATGCACCTCTCATATCACACCACCAAAGTAAACAACATAACGGGCGATAGCCGATGACTACATACTCCAGTGCAGGTACTTACTCACTGCCCCGCGATTCACTGTCCGGTTAGATTCACACAACTGCAATCCCGGAATGTATCATGTAACATCACCGGGCAATTTCTACAGCAGCCTGAAGGTCATCACAAATCACGAATAGCCGACACCCTCTATCCAGAAATGTATCGTTTATTGCAATGTCCTGCCCTGTGCCGTTCACAGTGACACATACCCATCGCAGTCAGGGCAAGTATCATAAGATCATAACGGCTCAATTCGCTAGAGCCTGAATAATGATCACCGAATTTACCGGATAATTGAAGATGTTTTTTTCTTTTCTCGTTCAAGGCGATGATGCCGCCATCTATTATCTCCTAGAATACCCATCTAAACACCCCATGAACGGATACTCCTCTCTTCTGTCAACCATCTGTATCAGCCAATTTTCAGAAAATTTGAGTTTATCTAATTATATGTTTCATAACCCTAAATTATAGCAACTGGTGTAGCTACCCCACATAGGGTTCGTTTGGTTTCGGGGCGGGTACGGGGTGCGTTCCCGCTCCCGTTTCCCCGCCCCGCTCCCCGTACAGGAGTCATCGGGGAACCCTGCCCACGCTCCCAGCTATATAATTGGCTGGGAGCAATATCGGGGCCACATCCGGGGGGGTTGGCGGGGTGGGGAACGGGGGCGGGTGCCCGCAGTTCTCGGGGCCCCGGAGGCCCCGTAACCAGCTCTAACTCTCTAAAAGCTATCCAAGGCGTTTCCCAAAGATGTAAAGACCACCCTCCCACCGTCCATGGACTCCCTTAACTCTTCCCAATCATATCATAACCTGCCAAAGATCGGGACATTCCCGTGGGGCGCATCGAGGCAATTAGTGAATTGACGAGAATGAGAGCGCCCAGGTTATAGTAGTACTTTACAAACCTATAGGACTTCCAACCGCTAACGGGTATGCTTTAAACCAATCACGGGTCCCTCTCCAGAGAAGGAGATTCTGGACTACCTGGCACAAGGCTCAATTGTTGGGGATTCTACGGCATGTCGTGGCTTTTAAAACTACAAACTTAAATTCTTCCCAGTCCCAAAATGATTCTTTACACCCCCCGCCAAACAGGCTACTACAGAACAGTGAGTGGCTCAATATTTTAGGTTTTTAGATGCAATTGGTTGTTTACTGTAAGCCAGTCAAGTAACTTACCCGAAAGAACTTGTCGCCTTGCGGATGGCAGCAAAAAAAGTTTGCCATATTTGGATGCGCTTTTGTAGCTAAACTGAGACCTCAACACACCTATCTCAAGGACCGATGAGATGCGCAGATTCCCCATATCGTTGATCCAGATGTGAGGCATGGCGCAGTGACTTTGCCCCACAGAACCCATGAAGCACCCACAGAAAAGTTGCCTAGCCACAGTATTGAGCTATCGTGTTATATGACAAGTATGATAGCCACCCGTATGTAAATTACTGCACAGTCTCATGATTATCAGAGAGGGAATCTTCCAATTATACAATTATTCTTTGTTTTCTTAAATTCTACCTTATCTTGCCCTAGTCCTAGAGAATATTTTGCTCCCTCAATATTATTGACTATCATTTTTCGGGCTTTTGCCCTTACCCTCTTTAACCTTTTTTCGTTCCAACTGCCCCGGCTGTTTTTAGGACTGCTTTGTAATACATAGGTTACCCTAATTAAACGAATGGAGGAGAACGTGCATGTTTCATCAGCCCTTAGGATAGGACTGTTCCCACCCCCATCTCACCATCAACCCACACCCTCCTTTGTCATCGCTCGTATGACTCTCACCACCATAGCTCTCCCTAACTGATATCCGGCCTCATACCGTCCCGATACCCTCATCATGGCTCCTTCCCTTTACCCGAGACCCGTTCCTAATACCCGCGTGGCCAGGGACTCACCGAATTACAAAGAGTTAGACTAATGCTCCCCACTTTTTCTAAATTGCGCTATCTGAGCCCATGACTAACCTTCGTCTATTAGCTTTCTGTTTGGCGGAACCGTCACATTGTGCGTGGGGCCATATGGGAAAAGAATGGAGATTCATAAAAAACTCCTCGCAAGCGTATCCCGAGAGCTCAACAAACACGTCAACAACAACATGAGAGAGGGTATCGAGGGCATAATCTGTTTACCGGACGAGGAAGAAGAGACGATAGCACATTTTACCGAATGGGCATACACCGGAGAATATACTCTCTCCCCCCCTCCCGCCAACACGAACAGCTACACGGGGCCGAGACAGCATCCATGGTCGAATCTTCACAAACACCTTCAGATCTACGTATTCTCGGATAAATTCAACATACCCGTCCTAATGCGACTCGCAGAATCGAAATTTCACAGCGAGATCAAACCCCTCCGCCCAAATGGAAATGAAGACGTGGTCGGCCTTGTCAAGCTGATAGACTACGCATATAACAACCTTCCCAGCCCAGATCCGATCCTAAAATTTCTAACGCAATACGCTTCTTGGAAGTTGGAGTTGCTACGCCCGTCGCAGGTGTTCCATAGATTGATGTTGCAGCGGCCGGAGTTCTTGAAGGATTTGCTCATGAATTTGAAGGGGCCGAGCACTAAGCCTAAGGCCGCGGCAAGGCAAACCCACCAGACAGACTACAGGTCAGAGACCGTAGTGACTGAATCTTCCGTGATAACTCTTTTCTAGCTTGGTGGCAAAGGACGGAACTGTTGCTGCTAGTTCCCAATTTTCATCTCCTTTGTTCAAATGAATACATTTAATACTCTCTCTTTCTCTCTCAATAACTTTCCGTAACTTGAACAAGAACACAAAATCTATCAAGCTTAACATCATCTGGGGCAGTAGGGCCCAAGATACGGTGCCCGAACATCTGCTTTGCAGCAAGAGCCCTTCACCTATAACCCACACCAGCACGTTCTCTTGCCAAACCGCACACTTACTCTGTCTTCATACATTATCACTCGTTTCTCGGACTCTGAAATTTGTTGAAAATAAGAGAATGTTTGTGTGTGGGAGCTACAAGCACACAGGGGTTTACATAAGTGCTTACTAATTTCTCATGTCTTGGTTCTGTGTTGCTACCTCATCTTTGCTTTCTTTTCCTCCGTTTTGTTTTTTTTTCTCATCCGGAACAACCAACATGATTAATTCTCTTTGGCTTCTTTCTTGCCGTTTCGCTCCACTCTGCATAACCATTACACCTCCTTCTTTTCTTTCTCTTGACTCCACTCCCTGTACACAAGACCAATACCATTCTCTCCTTCGGTATTCACTCGCTCTCGTTTCGTAAAACCTCCACAAAATCGACTGCAACCTTCCAACAAAATAAAACAGCCTCCAATGCCCCTCCAATGCCGTAGACTACCATACCGAGTATACATGAAGGTGACCGAATAATATGACATAAAACTCCCCTGCCCCCCTCTCAAATCTTGATAACTGCCCCTCTTCTCCGCAATTTCATTTTAAGACCCACCCCTCCCCCCTGCCCCCGAAAAAATCACCGCACAAAAAGCCACTAATATTCGGTTGCACAGTTTCTCCCCCTACACGACCCCTAAGCTTGTCTACTACCAGACCATCGTCCAAAGATTTCTGCGATCCCAAGGACTCGTTTGAATATATTATCTGCCAAAGAGTCAAGGCAAAAAAAGGATTAAGCACTAAACCTATGGCTATGGAATCCCAAATCACCCGATACACGGCAGAGTGAACAAGCTATCCCGTGTAGACTAAGGCGCAAGATTACAAAATCTATCAGGTTTGACATCGTATGGAGAAGTAGAGGCTAAACTACAGTACTCGTGACACATCTTTCTCGTAGTGATAGCCTGTAATTCACACAAACTCAAGGATCGACGACGTCTCCACAAATCGTATATCTCAAGCCAACAAGCCATAAAACTAGCCCATATTAAATACCTGTCTCTATAGATTCCCACTCCGCTCTACCTTCCAAGACCCCCGGATATAAATCTACAAGTCATGCCGTACAGTGCCTCCAATAACTATACTTTCCAACTTAAAGCTTCACACTATACACAATACCCTTAGCAGAAAACTGTAAGATGGTGTTTGGCGGGCCAAGAAGTTTCAAGGCAGCCTGTATCTAGTCAGTAACCTCCATCCAGGAAGCCCCGGGTTCCCCCCTCGCTTCCCCAATCCCTCAGTTACTAAGGCCGAAAAAGGAAAAAGTGGGGGAAACAGGAAGCTTCAATAATATAAAGAGCCCGAGGGGGGTTTAAATATCCAACCCCTGACTATCCCATCCAATTGATGGCAGGAAGGCATCACCATGTATCAGCACCAGGTATGTGAGTGAAGCTACATGAACCACCCAATCAGCCAAAACCCCATGGAATAAAATTCCTCCTTGAAACCGTTGATAAAGTAAAAGTGAATAAGACGATATATCCCAGTTGCCTCTCTAATATTTCCTCCGCCGCCCGGTATGAACCTTTCTACACTTTCGCACCCTATATACCTAGAATAGACTATGATCTTTGAAGCAGTTTCCCTTAGTTTGATTTGCTTGAGTCTCGAAACCTCCCCAGGAGTATGCAGTGCACTCCTAAGCCATCAGGAAAAACAGAGCTGACATTCCACTATACCCACCAAGCCGCCATCCCCCGCAATGCGATAGTAAAATGAATCAGGTTGTACTGTATCTTCCCTATCCAAGGCGGCTCTCCGTGTAGGCACTTTACATTGGAATCCACAAATCCAGATGACCTGCTACCATACACACACTCTAATATTGAAGGTAAATTACCCCATAGCCCCCCTCAAGGGCTCTGTGTGCAAGCGTCCTCTTCCTTCTCGATATCTGTAAGGTATTAGTATAGGGTGGTTGAGAAAGTGTGACCCGGAAACCGTAGTCATAGTTGACTTTGCTGTCCATTGTTTCAAGCTCCCCTTGTTGTGCCATTGCTGCTTGCCGGATATCACTCCGTTAGGATCAGCCACCTAGCATTAAGTCCTTCACGGCTAGTTCTTCTTCCCGCTACTTCTCCCCTTGTACCTACCCATTCTCATTCCATATACTATACTCAATACTGTATACATTCACCTCTCATATCTCAATACCAAACTAAACAATGTAACGGGTGATAGCTGGTTACTACATCTCCCAGTGCAGGTACTTTCTCACCACCCAGCAATCCACCCTCCGCTTAGATTCACACAACGACAATCCCAGAATGTATCATGCGTGTAACATCACCGAGCAATTGCTGTAGCAGCCTGAAAGTCAACAAAATTACGAATATCCAATACCGGTTATCCAGAAATGTATCATTTATCGCAATATCCTACCCTGTGCCGTTAGCAGTGACACAAACCCATTACAGTCAGGGTAAGTATCATAAGATCATAACCGCACAATCTACTAGAGCCCAAACAAGTGTAACCGAATCCACAGATAACTGGAGACATTTTTCATTTCTCCTTCGAAGCGATGATGCCGTCAACGATTATCTCCTAGTATAGAAATCTAAACACCCCATGAATGGACCTTCCTCTCTTCCAGCCAACCATTTGTATCATCAAACTTTCAGAAACTTTGAGTTCAGCTAATTATATGTTTAATAACGCACTCTAAATAATAGCAACTGGCGTACTTACCCCACACGAGGGAGGAAATCCCTCGAAACAGCAAGTCCTAGTCAGACCGAGCTATGGTGCAAGTTTCCTGGCCCGGGTTTCCACCGTTTCTGAGAGCTCAGGCTTGCCTTCTTCTCCGCTTCCTTATATCTGATATTTGCCACTGAGTACTATCATAATTATATAATCAATTAAACGATTCTTATGCTGATTAGAGAAGATGAATAAAGTATAATATTTCATGACAGGGAGACGCACCCTACCAAAGTTGGGGAGTTTCCTTGGATAATGCCCTTTGCGTAGTTAAGTAAAACTGTATCCTATATTGTTGTTTTTTCAAGCTCTCTCACTCTCTTACCATATTAAATTTTACCTTAGATTCAAGTTCCACAGTCACCAACCAACACTAGTTATGTATCGTAGAGTGGGTGAGAAAGACTGAGTAACTGGGGACATTTACACCTAAATTCAGCATTTCGAAGGACCCTCAACCGTGCTCCGGGCCCAAACCCGGGCAGAAAACTCTCTAAAAACTATCTAAGGCATTTCCCGTACATTTAAAGACTACCCTCTCACCGTCTACGGACTCCCCTAACTCTTCCCAATCAAATCACAGCCTGCCAAAGATTGGGAGATTCTTGTGAGGCTCTACCGAGGCAATTAGTTAATCGATGATAATGAGACAGGTGATAGAACCTCACAACCTATAGGACCTCCAATTGTTAATGGATATGTACTAAATTAATCACAGGGCCCTCTCCAGAGAAGGAGATTCTTGGCTACCAAGCACATGGCTCAATTATTCTGGATTCTACGGTATGTCTTAGCTTGAAACCACTAGCTTAAATTCTTCTCCATTCAAAAATGATTCTTTACACCCCCTGCCAAACATGCTGCCACAGAAAAGTGTGAGTGGTTTAATCTTTTATGTTTTTAGATGCGACTGTTTTTTTACTGCATCATAAGTCACTCAAGCAACTTATCCGAAAGGACTTGTCGCCGTGCAGATGGCAGAAAAAAATTTACCATATTTGGATGGGCTTTTGTAGCTAAATTGCGACACCAACACACCTATTTCAAGGACGAATGAGACGTGCAGACTCCCCGTATCTTTGATCCAGATGTGAGGCATGGCGCAGTGACTTTGCCCCACAGTAACATCCATAGAAAAGTCACCTAGCCACAGTATTGAGTTACTGTACGATTAGACGAAAGGCGGGGAATGTGCATGCTTCATCAGCCATTGGGATAGGAATGTTCCAATACCCCAACTCACTATCAACCTACACCCCCCTTTGCCAGCGCTCGTATCACTCTCACCACCATAGCTCGCCCTAACTGATTTGGCCGTCATACCATCCTAATCCGCTCATCATGGCTCATCCCTTTTACGTAAAACCCGTTCCCAATAGCCCCACGACCAAACACTCACCAAATTACAAAGAGTTAGACTAACTCTCCCCATTTTTCCTAAATTGCGCTATCTGAGCCCCATGACTAACCTTTGTCTGTCAGCTTCCTGTTTGGCGGAACCGTCACATTGCTCGTCGGGATATACAGGGAAAGAATGGAGATTCATAAAAAACTCCTCACAAGCTTATCTCCAGAGCTCACCAAGCACGTCTACAACAACATGAGAGAGGGCACCGAGAACACTATAGGTTTACCGGAAGAGGAAGGAGAGACGATAACGCATTTCACCGAATGGGCATACACCGGAGAATACGCCCTCTACCCCCCTCCCGCCAACACGAATAGCTACACGGAGCCGGGACAGGATCCATGGTCGAATCTTTACAAACACCTTCAGATCTACGTATTCTCAGATAAATTCAACATACCCATCCTAAAGCGGCTCGCAGAATCGAAATTTCACAGCGAGATTAGCCCCCTCCATCCAAATGGGGGGAAAGATGTGGTCGGCCTTGTCAAGCTGATAGACCACGCATATAAAAACATTCCCAACTCAGATCCAATCCTGAAATTTCTGACGCAATACGCTTCCTGGAAGTTGGAGTTGCTACGCCCGTCGGAGAGATTCCATGGATTGATGTTGCAGCGGCCGGAATTCCTGAAGGCTTTGCTCATGAATTTGCAGGGGCCAAGCACCAAGCCTACGGCCGCAGCACCGCAATTTCACCAGACACGCGGTGAGACAGCGAGACTCTTCGGATAGTATATCCCGAGATAAGGCAGTTCTCCCTTAGCGGCAAAGGTCCGAACGGTGGTTGTGAGCTCACAATTTTTATCTCTTTTGTTCAAATGAATACATTTGATACTCTCTCTTTCTCTCTTGGTGGCTTTCTGTAACCTGAGCAAGAACACAAAATCTATCAGGCTTAACATCGTATGGGGCAGTAGAGCCCAAGCTACAGTACTTGAACATCCGCATTGCAGCAAGAACCCTTCGCTCATAACTCATACCAACACAAGAGCCAACCTCGTCCTAGCAGGATACACATTCCCTTGCCAAACCACACACCTACTCTGTCTTCATACATTATAACTCGCTTATCGGACTTTGAAATAAAACAACCTCCAATGCCCTCCAATTCCGTAGACTACATACCAGGTATACATGAAGGCGATCAAATAACATGACATAAAATCCCGCCCCTCTCAAATCTTGATAACAGCCCCTCTTCTCCGCAATTTCATTTCAAGACCCCCTCCCCGCCCCCCCAAAAAAAGCACCGCACAAAAAGCCACCAATATTCGCTTGCACAGTTTCCCCCCCACACGACCCCTAAGCTTGCCTGCTACCAGACCATCGTCCGAAGGCTTCCGCAATCCCAAGGAGTCGTTTGAAAATATTATCTACCAAAGAATAAAGGCAAAAAAAGGATTAAGCACTAAACTTATAGCTATGGAATCCCAAATCACCCAATACACGGCAGAGGGAACAAGCTATGATACCCCGTGCGGACTAACCGGCAAGGGCTCATTGCCCCACAACTTTCCCGGCCCTACTAGGGCCCTTCCCAGGAGCTACGGATGACGTTTGATTCCCTCTTTCCCTCTATAGCCTTCCATAACCTGCGCAACATTACAAAATCTATGAGGTCTGACATCGTATGGAGCAGTGGAGGCTAAACTGCAGTACTCGTGACACAAATTTCTCGCAGTGATAGCCTATAATTCACAAACGCAAGGATTGACGACATCTCCACAAATTTTATATCTCAAGCCAACAACGAGTCATAAAACTAGCCCATATTTGATACCTGTCTTTATATATTCCCATCAGCTCTACCTTCTGGGACCCCCAGATGAAAATCTAAAAGTCATGCCATACAGTGCCTCCAAGGACCATACCTCCCAACTAAAGCTTCACACCACACAACGCCCTTAGCAAAAAATTGTAAGGTGGTGTTTGGTGGGCCAAGAAGTCTCAAGGTAGCCTGGATCCAGTCAGCAACCTCCATCCAGGAAGGCCAGGTTACCCCCTCGCTTCCCCCATTCCTCAGTTACTAAGGCCGAAAAAAAAAAAAGTGGGGGAAACAGGAAGCTTCAATAACATAAAGAGCCCGAGGGGCGTTTAAATATTCAACGCCTGACTATCCCAACCAATTGATGGCAGAAGGGCATCACCATGTATCAACACCAGGTATGTGAGTGACGTTACATGAACCACCCAATCAGCAAAAACCCCATGGAATAAAATTCCTCCTTGAAACCCTTCACAAAGTAAAAGTGAATAAGACAATATATCCCAGTTGGCTCTCTGACGTTTCCTCCACCATCCAGAATGAACTTTTCCACACTTTCGCACCCCATATACCCAGAACGGCCCACCCTCCTCAGAGGTACATTGGCCGACTAGTAGGTATGGCGAAACTCCATGCACGCCAGAGGAACAGAAAGCACGCAACATGACCTGCGCTTCTCTTTGCAGCTTCGATTAGTTTGGTCCGCTCTAAACGTTCCGGAGAGTATCCAGCGCGCCTCTAAGCCATCGGGGGTAGCAGATTTGGCATTCCCCTGTATTACCAAATTTCCATCCATGGCAATGCGGTAGTAAACTAAGCGGGTTGTAATGTATCTTCCACATACAAGGCGTCCCTCGAGTAGACATTTCACACCCAAATCCACAAAACCTGATGCCTTGTTACCATATATACAGTGTTCCCAACCGTCTCGGGCGCCCTACAGGGCCCTGGCGGGCTCGTGGTCCCGGGCGTCGCGGGCAGGGTGGGTAAGGACGGGAGGTCATGGCGTCCGTCTTTGATAAAGACTGCAGCCCGATGGGTTGACGCCCGGCCCGGGAGTCTTAATATCATACAAATGGCATCTTCCAGCAGTCATCTGCAGGGCCATTTGCAGGCGAGACACCTCTAGGGCCCGGCCGGCCGTCCCGGGTAGAGGTTAGACTCGCACTGTGAAAGGTAAGGTATGAACCCTACAACCACATAATAGTACTCCATTAACCTACCGTTGCATGCCAAGCTTGCGTCCCCGTTGCAATCGACTTGGGGAACGTTATAGATGGCCGGGACCATAAATCAAATGAAATCAATAATAATAAAAATAATAAAAATAATAAAAATAATAAAAATAATAAAAATAATAAAAAATTTAATAATAAAAATAAAAATACTTTTTCAGCCTCATATATGTTTGGAAGTACATGAGCCATAATTACTAATAATTCTTTCTAGAAGAGAGGTACTAGAATATAGAAATAAAAATTAAAAATATCAGAATATTCAAGGTTCAGATCAAATGATTTCATAAGTTACTTTATTAGTCAAAGTCCTATTATATTAAAATTTTTACTTTTATAGTCACCTATTAAGAAACAGGATAGAGAACTTTTATGATAATAGAAGGTAGAAAACAAAAATAAATAACCCATCATAGAACTTGCTTGGTTAGACTATAAAAATATAACTAACATGACATTGTGATATAATATTTTTTTACTCTACAACTTCCTATAACCCTATAGGATAATACATATATTTTGAAATTGCCTATTCGCAATTTCTTGAAAAGCTCTTAGTTATATCATAGATACAATTATTGAAAACAAACAGAGCATAAATACACTATTGAAATTACAGTAATACCCTATTGCCCTGAATAGCCAAAATCTAAAAATAAAAAAATTGTTCAAGACAGTAGATTATCTAATATAATAAGTAGGCTTTAACACAATAAATTAAATTAAATTAAATTAAATTAGAATTTAAAATATCCTCTACTGATCTCTGTTCCTTCACTTCTTTTTTTTCCATTCCTGTCGAAATTCCTTAAAATTTCTCAATCAGATTAGATGTAGCATCAGATTAGATGATTAGATTGAAGAACTTGATAAGTTAATTCAGTATCCTCTAAACTACTCAGACATTCAGCCGCCTTTAAAATGTTGAACACTAGCCTTTTTAACTAACCAGGAGTTAATCTACACAGACTTGGTCATCTTTGTTACAACCATACTGAGCTATGGATTCTGCGGTATTCCGAGCACTACTACCCGTTTTCAAAAGTATCCAGATGCCTTGGCACCAAGATACTTTGCTGGTATCAGGAATTATGAGAATATGGTGAGGATGATATTGAAACTATTAACTATCCATGGAATTTATTCCCCCCTTTCTGGTCAATACATTGAGATAGAATATTAGGTAGTTTAGATACTTTCCTATTAATTTCTTCGATTGTGATTTTTTCCCATTCCTGCTTCAAAACTAATTTCATCTCCCGTACTGAAGTCACTCTTTCAACACCTCGCCGGGTTTGAATCCTGGACTTCATTATATTTCACAAGTGCTCAATTGGGTTCAGATCAGGGGAATTAGGTGGCCAGTCCACCTTATTAATCCCTTCCTTTTCTCTTTTGTAGTTGGTAAAGTCCGAATCATGTGCTGGTACATTGTCTTCTATTAGCAGAAAGTCTGAGTAAACTAATTTTCGGGTATGACATGTTGGCCATAACAGAGGACGGGCAAGGTAAGTCACATATCGCCATAAGTCTACTCCCTTTGAATCCCCTCTCTCCAGCTTCTTGATCTTATACTTCTTGTCTCTCCATTACTGAGTTGTTTTTGCTTTAACACCAGTAAGAGAAGCAAGAATTCGGGCTTCATGAGCATCAGACAATTCTCTTCTTCGCAAATCCTGTCATTCCTCTGATGCACACCAGGCTGCATTCAGGCGAGACTCTTCTTCCACACAATTTTCATTGTATCTAAGGATAGCACTTGCCGCACTTGCTCTTTCCTCTTCACTCTCACTCTCCCATATCCAAAATGGACCTTTCCATCTATATGATATTATTCCCCAACACATAATTGAAGCTCCTTGCTTCTTCATCGCTCCAATACAGTCATCCTCCCACCGCTCACTCTTATTCCTCCAAACGAAACATGGTCTATAGAGACCACCAATCTCTATTGACATCTCATCCGTAAATGCATAATTTGACCACTCAACTGCTGGTAGCCATGTAGCTCGTAGCTCGCAGTATTCTCTTCATATTGTTAGTACAAATTGTATTTTTCTCATTATTATCACAGCTTACTTGAAGCCAGACACTTTGTATGGAAATTGCCACCTTAAGTATCCAGCTTCAACCTAAGTGCCTGAGGATATCTTTTAGGAGAGTTAATTACTTACCAATCGTTTCTTTTGATTTTTCTCATTTAAGATAAATTTAAACACCTCATGGTATGTACCAATTCCCTTCTCCTGCAATGCACGATAAACAGTTGTATTACTAACATGTGATAGACCGGCCTCTCACCGAATATCACACAGGGTCATCCTCCACATCGTAAAGTCCCTCTTAACAAACTTAACCAGTTCATTCTTATCATTTTCAGACAAGCAAAGTGGACGCCCACTACGAGGAGCAGTATCCAAAACTGAAGCCTTAATCAATTCCATTAAGGTAAACTCTTTGTCGGGCACAGTGGTGCTTCGAGAATTGGAGATACTGGTGGGTACCGGGCTTTCAATTGGTAATGATGTAGCGATCGCAAGTCGAGCAGTTCTTGCATTTTCTAATGCATGTCTCCAGATATCACAAGCTGTAGACCTTGAAACACCAGTAACTTCTTTGATCCTCTTAAAGGTCAACAGAATGTCAAGACACCTTAAGGTAACAATGGCAGCCCGGCGCCAGGGTATTATTTCCTTTCCTATTTTATTATACTGATTAGCCCCGACTCCCGTGATTTAAAATCCAGAATTTGGAATACCTCCTTACCCCTCTTAATAACAGCACATACCATCCTGGAAAATCTCTCACTGGCAATGTCGTACGGGTATACCAAATAGGAGTGATGTGGTAGGACGTGAGAAACTTCAGGTTGAACGGTGGTGGAAACAGGAAACCTTGGCTGGGATTCCCCTGAGATCTTGGCGCCAAGGCATCCGGATACTTTTGAAAACGGGTAGTACACTACTTCAGGATCATGAAGTTTTTCCTATCATGGTTACCGAAATAGGCTAGTGTTCAACATTTTAAACGGGGCTGAATGTCTCAGCGGTTTAGGGGTACTCGAGTATGATAGAATTAGACGAAAGGAGGAGAATGTGCATGTTTCATCCGCCCCTGGGATAGGACGGTTCACACACCCCATCTCACCATCAACCTACACCCTCCTTCGTCAGCGCTAGTATCACTCCCACCACCATAGCTCGCCCTAACTGATATCTGGCTGTCATACCGTCCCGATCCCCTCATCATGCCTCCTTCCCTTTACCCAAAACCCGTTCCTAATATCCGCACAACTAAAAACTCACCAAAATACAAAGAGTTAGACTAACGCCTCTCGTTTTTTCCAAATTACGCTACCTGAGCATGACTAACCATTGTCTATCAGCTTTCTGTTTAGCAGAACCGTCACCTTGTACGTCGGGCCACACAAGAAAAGAATGGAGATTCATAAAAAACTCCTCGCAAGCGTATCGCGGGAGCTCAACAAACACGTCAACAACGACATGAGAGAGGGTATCGAGGGCATAATCTGTTTACCGGACGAGGAAGAAGAGACGATAGCACATTTTGCCGAATGGGCCTACACCAGAGAATACGCTCTCTCCCCCCCTCCCGCCAACACGAAAAGCTGCACGGAGCCGAGAAACGATCCGTGGTCGGATCTTCACAAACACCTTCAGGTCTACGTATTCTCGGATAAGTTCAACATACGCATCCTAATGCGACTCGCAGAATCGAAATTTCACAGCGAGATCAACCGCCTCAACCCAAATAGAAATGAAGACGTGGTCGGCCTTGTCGAGCTGATAGACTACGCATATGACAACCTTCCCACCTCAGATCCGATCCTGAAATTTCTGACGCAATACGCTTCTTGGAAGTTGGAGTTGCTACGCCCGTCGGAGATATTCCATAGCTTGATGTTGGACTGGCCGGATTTCCTAAATGATTTGCTCATGAATTTGAAGGGGCCAAGCACTAAGCCTGTGGCCGCAGCACAGCAAGCCCACCAGACACACTATAGGGCAGCGAGACCGTAGAGACTGTATCTTCCGGGATAAGGCAGTTCTCACTTGGTGGCAAAGGCCCGAATTGCGGCTGCTAGTTCCCAATTTTTATCTCTTTTGTTCAAATGAATCCATTTAATACTCCCTCCTTCTCTCGATAACCTTCCTTAACCTAAACAACACAAAATCTATCAGACCTAACGCCGCGTGGGGCAGTAGAACCCAAGCCACAGCATGGTGCATTGCACTTGAAGCGCGCACTCTACTAGGTGTAACATGTAACGCTCAACCCCCTATACAACCAGCACTATCCTAAATCTTGTACGAGTATCTTTAGAAAAGGATTAACTTTTATTGACAATATTTATATACAATTAATAGTATGTTATGCACCATATGTATCAATCATAATTCTATCATATGATATAGCTCTTTTTTGTTGTGAACTATCAAGAAAAAATGTACCGAAACTCTCCAGCAATACCAGCTTTGTACCCTCATTCTTACTCAAATGCAGAAATCTCAGCATTAATATCACCTGATATGTATTGAAATTAATATACCATTAATGATATGAGATTGTTGATAAAAGTTTATATTTTTCTCAAGATACAGGATTCAGGGTATAACACTGGTTGCATAGTCAACGGGGGTCGAACGTTTCGCGTTGCACCTATCACAGCACGGTGCACACTTTAAGCGCAATGCACCATACTCGAACCCCCCCGTTGCAAAAAGAGCCCTTCGCCCATAACCCACACTACCGGTAACACAAGAACTCTCCTCGTCCTCGCAGGCTACACATTCTCTCGCCAAACCACACACTAGCACCTACTCTGACTTCATACATTATCACTCGCTTCTCGGACTTTGAATGACAACGAAATCTCCAATGTCCCTCCAATGCTCTAGACTGTCATATGATACCAAGTATACGTGAAGATGATCAGATATAAAAATAGAAATAATCAAAATCCCCGGCGCTCCCTCTCTCAAATCTCGACAACGGTGCCTCTTCTCCTGAGACTACCGGTAAACATCACGACATGCAATTCCGCAAATTTATGCAAGAATAAATGCACAAACCGTACATACTATATCATACTGATACCCCTTCTCGCTGCATGCCCCTCACTGCGCTAGTACCCGCACTACTGTCCACTATTAGAGCTCACTACGGTGGCCATCCGAATGAGCAAGTGTTAATACTTCTATAATTGATATTTTCCTTCTCTTTTTTCTTCTTCTCTTCTCCAGTAAAAAGAGGCCTTCGATCGCACGGCTTTCCACCATATTCACTCTAAAACCACACAGCTTATCAAGCACAGAAAAAGTGATAGCGGGTGCCGGCAGTGGGTATTTCGCAGTGGTGGAGGAATAACGCTTGCGTAGTGGATGTGTTCGACTAATGGTCGACGACCGATTGTTCCCCGTCTATCCACAAAAAGAGAAAACATCCACCGCTGTCCGTAAAACCATCACAACAGGAAAAACACACACAACAGCAGTCACAACCCTGCTACCTAGAACATAGCATGCCCTCAGGCCCAACGCTTGTATCCCATCCACTACCACCTGGGATTACATCTCCATCAAAAAGTTGATCAGACAAAGAAGAAAAAAATCCCTATTGGCCAACATCCATCCTTAAGAACATAGAAACCGTCAAATAGCTTTCCCAAACCCGAACGGAAGTCAGGAAAGCTCGAGCGTTCCGCGATAAAGTAATTGGCATGACAGTACTGAAGGTGGTGTAGGTTCGTAAATTAGAAACCCCATTTCGCCTTGCGTCTAGATCTTGAAACAGCCTTTACGAAGAAGAAACTAGCGTGGTCATCACATCACACTGCTTTACCCCATATCTACATAGTGGAGAAGAAGAAAAAGAAAAAAAATTCCTCTCCTGATGACCTTCATATATTCTTGGTATTATAAGCAATGGATTCGGAAATTTTTATCCATGCCTAAAGGTTCTGTCTAGCATCGGAAGACCCCAATTGGATAAACATTAACCGCGCACGATCACAAGTGCTTCTGCAAAGTGTTGCTTTCCCAATTATACTATGCTTTTGCGGTAGCCACAGTGGTTCCTGGCATAAATGATAAAGTGTATTTATTTCAACGCTTTCCACTAGATTGGAGTTTTGAAGGAGAGCTAAATTCCGATGAGGTCATGTGTTTTCCATATCTCTCGGTGTCTACGGGTGCCCCAGCTAGCATATGGAAGGAAACCTTGGGAGGGAAGGGGTTTTGCGAGAAGAAAGTTTTGCGGAGGAGGAGGTTCAAGGCTAGGAGCAGTTTTCCTCTCTGGTTGGAGGGTGCCAGACGGGCCGAGCCTGGTATTGATATCGTAGGAGGAAAATGCATAGCTCAAAAATATCAGGTTCAAATCCAAATTCTAAAGAGAGGCAAATTGTCGAGGAGCTCTGGTGGTCAACTGGCTAAGGAGCCGGCCCCTGAAAACACAAACGGGGGACGCGCATAGTCTAAATTCACAGCAAGGCTCTACATATTATCGGCTCCCTGGTCCGACACATTAGCCACCTTCGGGTATAAATAAGCAACACATCCATGTTCCGCTCATGATGCAACCCGTAGCTGAAGTCCATTTTTTAAGGCTAGATGACCTACGTAATATCTCCACCGCCTATACCACTTAGGATATCTAGCCATCATTATTAGGGGGAGGGGTAATTTTATGCTTCCCCCCCCATTCGAGAACTTTGTTGAAGCTCCAGCACTGGTGAGAAACATCCCACGCTGACTCCGCTGACTCGCCTGCCTTTTTCCAGTAATGCATCGCGGTATCCGCCTTGCAAGTAAGCACTTGTCTAAGAAATTCAACACAACGGTCTGCGACGTCTCGGAAACCAAATCAGTCATGGCTTCCTAAGAAAAAAAATAAAGGGAAAGAAGAAAACATAAGGAAGGAAGGACAAACCAAGGCGCATCCCATGATCAGTGCTCGAATGCTCATACAATGCAAGCCTTATATAATTCTGCGTCCCCCAGATACCCATTGTTCAGCATCTTTTCCACTCCCCAAGAAAAAGAGAAGAGAACAAAAAAAAGTGGGGGAGAGAGAAAACATACGAGGCAGTGCAACTGATGGCAAACCCCAATTCCGTAAATAAACTCACCCTCTTTCCAACCCTTAATCGACGGTGGCAAGTTCCTCAAGACCCTCTTATCACTAATCCCAACCCTCCCACCACCCTCTCCGCAAATATTCTCCCATGCCTCATTATTCTCCCTAGTCGGGGGGCCAAAGTACATCATATTCGGGGTGAGTGAGAGACGGCGGTTCTCAGAGATCGAAGCAATCGGGGCTGTAGAAGCACATCTCCCATTAGCAAGAGAGAAGACTGTTCTTGGAAGGAAGATGCGGGAACAAACAGTAGAAAGGAGTGCGATGCACAGCCTGCGGGTGCTTCCCGGTGATGGGCTTGATGGCCGAGCCGAGGATCATACCGACTCCGAGGATGATTATAGAGTAGACTGTGAAGAGCACCCAGATTCCCCATCTTTGCTTGAGACAAGATCTGCTGGTGCAGGACCTGCCGCGGGGTTTTGCCGGAGGGGACGCGAGGTGGGGGGGGGGTCGGATTGCTCTCTGGATCCATCTTGCTTGCTCTCCTGTTGTGACTTTTCTTAGCAGCTGTGGTGCAAGGGAGTGGATGTCAATGAAGTTGAATGACGAGGGGTGAAGAAAGGTTTCAAAGGCATCCGGATCTAGTGCTCAATTTTTATCCAGGAAACCCGGGGTTTACCCCTTGGTCCTCACAATCCGGGCACATGCAAACCTAAAACCTATCGATATTCCCATCGTGCCAGTGCAGAACGCAGAACGGCAACCCCGTTCAACAGTATTAAATTGTGAGTGACAATCTATGAATTACGCAACCAGCCAAAACCCATCCATTAGACATGAAGTTCTCCTCCTCAAAATTCTTGATAAAGTAGAAACCGAAAAAGACAATATCATATCATGTGCCGGTAGCCTTACAAACGCTCTCCCCGCCGGCACCACCGCCACAACGGTCCTTTCCAAACCTCTACACCCCTATATCCAGAACGCCACATCCCCGATCAAGACATCATTACACTACCGGACAGGGTAGACCCGTCAGATACTCCGGAATGACAAAAAGGGTATCATGCACGACAAGACCATCCTGCTTCCCATAGCTTCCTTAGTTTGATCCAGTTGAAACCCTCTCCTAAGAGTAGGATACCAAACACCCCAGGAATCGAAGTGAAAAGGATCCGCAACTATCGCACAAGACGTCCGTGTATGAGTACCCCGTCCGTGCCGCCAATACCCGCAAGGCGCCGGCACGGGGCGGACACGATAAGAACTCGTAGCCCGAAACCCCTACCCATGGTGTGGAGTGCTTTGGCGTCCCTTGTTCCAAGTTCCCCGTGTTGCAGCAGCCAGATCACTCAGCTAGGATTAGTCACCCTCCATTAGGTCATCCGCCGCAGATTTTCCCCCCTCCCCCTCACTTTTTCCCTTCGCATAATATACTCGGATGTGCCCATAGAGGTCGGAAACTATCCGCGCCAAAACAAGGATCAGAGAGATCAGGAGATCAGGTTGGAAAAAAACCAACCAGGTGCTGAACATCTTGAATCCTGCAATGTTTCACCAAGTGATAGGATATGACTGCAACCGCGAACGCATCACAGTAAAACTTACAGGACATTGAGGAAGCATCAAATTGAGTGAATTAAGATGGGATTAAAGAGTGGTTAAGAATACTAACACTTGAACACAAACTGGGTAGAGCTAGTTAATGAAGGGAAAAAGAAAAAAAACTGTCCTTGTAATACATCTTAACTTTTCAATTAGTATATAAAGTATAATTGTGAATGGGAAAATAAATAAGAATACTTGAGCAAAGTCTCCAAGGGTAATAATATGATCATAAGAGAATAATTGTAATAAGAAGAATATACTAGTAACAGACTCGGAAGGAGCCTGAAGCAGCCTGAAGGAGAAAATTCCATTGAAAGGAAAAGAAGAAAAGAAAAAAAACTACCAGACCTTAACAAGTAAGAGGAAATATCAAGATCTAAATACATGATTCAATTATTTGAGTTCTGCCAATAGGAGAGGTGGAAATACTAAAAAGAAGATTGATATACTACATATAAGTAGGATAAGAGTAATTTTGCTTTATCAGTAGGATATCCCACCAGAAAAGTAATCTAGTTGGCTAAAGGGGAGGGAGATATCCTCTTGGCCAAGTAGAGTTCTTAACTAGTAGGATAGAACATATACAATATAACAGTAATACCCCATGTTTTTTAAAAATCCCCGGAGTAAGCCACCTTGGCACGACGACTTTGCAGTGTAGTACGTGAAATACCATACATAGTCTTTGGCTGCTTTTCTCTCTGATGAGCCATTCTCGATCGCTGTCAGAGCCAAGGCTATCATATTCTCGCGACTAACTTATTTATCTCGTGATAGGTGTGAGGGACGTTATAGGAGGGGTTGGCAATTGTGTGGTGCAGTTGCCACGGTGGCCGGAAACTAGGGGTGGCCGAAAACCCCGTACGCGAGCTTAAACCGCCACCGCCCAGGTTTCGTCAGAGTATGATACGATACCCCCACCAAGATCACAAAACAGTATACCGAGTGATAACATATGACCACAATCCCAGCACCAAAACTCAACCTAAAACCCATTTCACAGACTCATCCAAGCACTAAACCAATATCGCAGATTCACAATCTCCAGGATTCCCCCCCCCCCCCCCCCCCCTCGTCGCTCTCCCTATCTCTCCCACACCATCACCAGGTACTTGTACTTATCCGTAAGGACCGGAAAAAATGTCAGCAAAAGAGGGGGGGCCGACTCAATCCCCCTCCACAACAGCAGATATCCGTACCGATAGATATTGTAGCGCCATACCGGCAAGCGGCGAGTTTGGATATATTACTTGTGCTGTGAACGGTGATCCCAGATCCTGGACGACATTGATAAAAAAAACTCGGGGTACAGTACAGTACGAGTATTCCATTCACCACCACAACCACCCCCAGTCGCAGTTAAGTTAAGTTAACCTTTTATCTCACTGTCCGGAGCACAGCCTTCCAGTGAAAGGAAATGAAACGAAATGAATGGAGAGAACTACTGCGGTGGCTTTCTCAACTACCGTATGTACAGTGCCGTGAAAATATGAATAATTGAATTTTGTGGTTGTGAAGTCTAGAACCGTCCTCTATGGAATTGGGGGATTGGCGGGGGAGGGGGGGATATACCGTAGCCCCTTCAAACATCTGAAACAAAAATTGAAAAAAATTAAAATTTCTCTGAGGATGCGGAGAGAGAGGGAGGTCCAATGGCATGTGACAGTACACGGTTCAATTATTTTCAAAGTTTCTACGATGCGGGATCAATGGTATCGGTGCGACGGTGAGTACAGTATGATTCTGGTGCCGGAGGGGGGTCCAATGGCATGTGACAGTACACGGTTCAATTATTTTCAAAGTTTCTACGATGCGGGATCAATGGTATCGGTGCGACCGGGTACAGTATGATACTCGTGCCGGAAGGGGTCACGAACGGGACACTGTAGAAAGCAACAGACTGCCAGTACGTACGGTAATTCCAGAACGCGCACTACAAGTATGATACAAGTATGATACGGTAGTCCGCCACTTGGACCGGTCTTGGCGAGGGCAGGGGCGATGGCGGGGTTGCTGCCGAGTATGATATGAGAGACATATTAATAACCATCCAAGATCTCCCTCCCTCCGAAGCGCAAAGGATTGGAAAACCGTGCATGGAATGCTGGTATTAACTTACTAGCATCGGCTTTGGAAATGTTCCTCCGCTCTGTTGAAGATTCCGACCCGCTGGGGTGTTGCTGGTGTTACTTGTACGCTGCCGACGCCTGCAGTTTTTTGGGTTCCCTCTCCCCGCTGAAATCTGTTTGTTTGCCCGTTTTGGAGGGGTGTTTTTTTTTTCTTTTCTCCGGATTGGGGAGTGTGTGTGTGGTTAGGTGGTTGTGGTAGGCTATGCGCTGTATGTAAATTATGCACTCGTCCAAAGCTAGAAGTGCCTTACTGACTGACTAACTTTCACGGTATTGAGAGTGTTATTTAGTTCGAGGGCATGGCTGATTGGGGATGTGTTTTCCCTATTCTCTGTTTGGGCATTTCCTCATGAGGATGTATTCGTAATTGGGTAGGGCTACTATTGGATATCATGGGGCCAAATTTCAGCTCTTTTGGACGGGCCTTGGAGTCACTCAAACGTGGTCGTTCAATTGCGAGTGGTATTTGGTCATAGTGTGTGGGTACCGTAGGTAGCACTCACCACACTAATCCTAACGGTCGCCCAGTCTACTCGAGTAATGCTGTGCTGCAGAGTTTCGTGCGATGAGGTACAATATTTCCACTCTAGTAAGTTACTGTGTTGAGGCTGTGCGTTTGCCGAGCCCGGCGCTGAATTCGTGGCAGTCAAGCTATCGATAGACTACCGGTAGACCATGACTGCAGTCAGCACGCCAATACACCACGATGGTAGATATTATTATTATCGACCAGCGCAACCAATCAACGCCACCGGTATCTCTCGGACCGATGACACGGCCAGGTTCGTCTCCTGGCCCGTGCACATTCTCATCAGGAAGAGGTCTGTCCCACTCATTATTCAAGTCTCTCAAAAAAAGCCGCGTGCGGGCCAGGTGACATGTTTGACTTTGTCATACATCCAAGGGATACAAGCACTGTACTAGTACGGGTACTTGTACTGTACATGGCAATAATTCCATCCGTAATGTCTCGGTTAACTTCCGGGATTTGGACACCGGTAGCGTGTTTGACCGAGCTGCAACCTGTCGGAGAGATGGACCTTGACAGTGCGATATACCGGTACCATAGGATAAGGTGGAAACAGTCTCAGTATAAGCAGAACTCGATTCAGGAGTGTTGTTTAATTGCCTGTCAATATGCGGTGTTTATCCTCCGCCGCTCGTGGGGATGGTGGTGGCTGGACGTGGGTGCGCCTCTCTCTCCTCTCTAGAACAGGAAGGGAAAGAGCCTGTCTATATGCAGGAAATAATCAGTGCCAAGACACCCACAAGATGCAACCACAACCCAGCAAACCCATCCTTCGACACCCGTACCGTATGTTCCAGCCGGGTCAAGTGAATAATAGCGGTGCATTCATTCAACACGACCCGACTCACCTCTACACTTGCATCCTTATCCATCGCAGGAGTGCAGGAGTGCAGGAGTGCGGTATTCTGCGGTAAAAATCAGCACTTTATCATACTCGAGCACGGTACACTGCAAGTACCATACAGTCCCAGCACCGCAACACAGCGTCTTAATCTAGCTCTAACATCCCTCCCAAGGAATCTTACCCACCATGCACGAACGCCCCACACCAATCCAACCTCATTCAACCCCAACCACAGCCTCACTCCTGCCCCCCATCTGAACTCGCACACTGATAGCATTGCAAGTCACCCCAGACACCAAGCTCAACTTTACCAGAGTTTCCACCTACCATATGCAAGCACAGTCCACCATCCACCAATCCAAGAATGATATTCCACCGTTACACACACACAACAGCTCGATGACTCAACACACGCGTCCGTCCCTCCATGGCACCGGACCGTACTGCATCATACCATACCAAACTGTAGCTAAACTTTCCCGCAGGCGAGTTGGTCAGTCATGGTAAGATATCATGGTCAACCCCCACATTCGAGCACCATAAAAAAAAGGAAAAGAAAGGAAGGAAGGAAGAAAAGAAAAGACAGTAATCCCGGTACCACGGGTAACGGGTGTCTCCGGCGATGTGAAGGAAAAGCGCGCAAGCGAAGGAAGCTGTAGCATGCATATCGCGAAGTAAGAAAAAAAAGACTACGGTAAAGACTCATCCAGGAAGAGGATACCCGTATGGTAGTGCAGTAGCGGTATGGTACTTGTACTACAGTCACTTTGTAAAGTGCTGAGTGCTCGTGGATGGTGGAATAGAATGGAAACAGAATACCGGTACCGGTGGAACGAGTGCAATATCAGTACAACATACTGGTACTGTATCGTACCAACCGGTCTCGCAGACCAGATCAGACCGGACCAGACGAATAAGCAAACCGTAACCCTTCCTTCCTCCACAAACCCACCCATCAAAGCAAAAAAAAGAGAAGGAAACGTAACAAATGAACAACCGGGCAATCCGGTATCATATCCAACTCATCCACCCAACCCACACCATCAGATAAAAGGTTACCGTATCCTCCCCCAGCTCCCAGTCCCCACTCGCGACCCCGCCCGCCCACTTATCTCTCCATACCCACGCAACCCAAGCAACATGCATACCATACCGTACTAGTCATGGAGTACAATACTAAAAAGTGCAACAAACAAAAGTGCAAAAGACAAAGAATCCCACCTCCAAAAATAACCCACGAGGGGGAAAAAAGCAAGATAGTGGTACCCAGCCTCCACGCAGTAGAGTACCGGTACGCGTTAGGTCCAGAGTTCCCCACAAAAGCTTATCCGCACCGCAAAGGAAAAAAAAGAAAAAAAATACATTTTTTTTTTTTTCAGCTGAGGACGGATTTAGTACCACGCGATTATTTTTCGCAATGAAACTACCGGTACTCGAGTACCTGTAGTCGGTGTCATGGCGTTGCGAAAATGTCTTTGTTATGATACCGTAAGTGTTGCGCGAGTATGATATTAGCTAGTTAGATGGTGGCGGTGGTGGTTGTGGTGGTGGGAAGCTCAGCTTCAGAACGGGACGGACATACGGTACTCGAGTACGGGTACCAGCACAGAACGATAGTCTAAACGGCACCCACAGCGTACCGGTAGCCGGCCGCGGAAAAGTGAAGTGTCATCGTATCACGGATGCGGTGCCGGACCGCGTCGGTGCAAAAATCAAATGCGAGCAGAGTTGGTATCGGTAAATTAGGCCAAAGCACTCGTGGTCTCGGAGTACCGGTATGGGACTGTCGAGTGCAGAACCGCCATGAACCCGACCGCGTTCACACCCTCGCTTAGGATCCCCCCCGTCACCGGTCCTTGAGTGACGCTGATCGGTCAATAAGCGCCACGCAGGATACACAACACGAGGCGCACGTGCTCCGCAATTTCGAGAGATGTGATCCAATATCCGGAAATGGTGCTGACTGGCAAGGGTTGTGGATTCTGGTTCAGTTTTCGGGGGCTTGGCGTGCAGATTCCCTCAACGCTTTCGGACCTGGCGTGCACGCGCTCGGGGATCAGGGGTTGAGAGGTGGCATGTGGGGCGAGCACTGCTGATTGGCTTCTGAGTCTAATTAGACAGTCCGGAGGGTCGAGCAACATCCAGGTGCGACTGCCGTTGCTCGCCAATTTCGTGGGTACAGTACTCGTACTTTGTATGATATCCCGCCATGGGAAGAAAAATAAAAGATGGGAAAAGCTGTGGTCCCCGCCCTCAGATCTGACCATCTTGGCACCCCTATTTCCGGATGCCTTATGAATTGGCGAGTCATGTTGCCGAGTGCTCGCTTGACCCTTTTCCACCCTCGAAAAATAGGGGATGGGATTGGTCCTTCATATGGAAGAGTACACCATCACACCCCCAACTTTCTGGTCAGGTAAAATCTATGCTCGCCTCACCCAGTCACCGTCCCCCCCCCCCAAGTAATGTAGTCTACGGGTCCACTCCAATCTCAGTCCCAGTCCCACTGTATTCTTTCAAGAGAGAAAAAAAGTATAAATTTCACATCAACAAACTCGTCCATCACAAAGTAGATACAGAGAAAAAGCAAACGCCAACCCAAACCACGTCGTGAAATGAAAAGTGAATGAAAAAAATTATGATACCACTGAATGAGAATAGCGGATGGGAAAGGTAAATCAACTTGTATTGATGTTCGCCCTCGTCTCTCCCTGTGAAACCAAATAAATGTTTACAAAAAGATCAAGAACCGGCAAGATGAGAGTCCCTCCCATTTCGAATCCCTAAGCTCCGCCTCTTCTTCCGAACCAACCCTCACTTTTCGAATGCCGAGTCGATATAACCTTTCGGTCAGAAAAAACATCCTTGCGGGAAAGAAATCCCCACCGCTCCGATTAATTATATTAGGTGTAGGAAAACACGGGGTAAATAGCGAATTGGTTTGATTGGTTGGGTACTCAGTTCAAGTACATGACGGCACCGAGAACACAGACAACGAGAGCCAAAGGACTATTCATCACCAATGCGACCGCTCCGCTGCTAGGAGCGGTGGGGGCAGACGACGAGGGCCCAGTGGATGAGGCGCCAGAACCGCCCGGGGAGGTGGGCTTGGAGCTGCTACCTGCGCCGCTACCACGGGTGGTGGTAGCGTTAGATGATCCGGTAGTGCTCATGGTTGCGTTGGAAGCGGAAGTGGTAGAGGTGATCATGGTGCTGTTGTGAGCGGGCTTGCTAGTCATCTCAGGCTTAGAGGTTGTGGTAGTGGCAGAAGAGCTGCTGCTGGAACCAGACGAAGTGGAGCTAGAAGTGGCAGAGCTGCTGCTGCTAGAAGAGCTAGGAGCAACTTCGGACTTGACGGGCAAGGGAGGAGTGTAGTTGTCATCCTTGGTCTTGTCATCGACGATCTGGATAGCATAGTTGTCTCCACTCGCTGTACCCTTGGGGACAGTCCAGGTGTAAGAGCCACTGTTATCAGCGCCAGCTGTTCAAAGTTAGTTTTATGAACCATCACAATTCAGTGTTCATTACTTACAAACGATCACCGACACATCCTTAAGATCGGTGGGAGGTCCCTGGCGGAAAATCAGGGTAATTGGCCCAGGAGTAGTGGGAGTCCAGGTAATAGTGACCGACTCGCCAGCAACAAGAGGAGCAGATCCATCAGGTTTACTGATGGGATTCCCCGCAGCAAAAACCGAACCGGCAAGAGTAGCAATGGCCAAGAGAGAGCTCGTGAAGAAACGCATCTTGTTGTCGAACGATCAAAACAGTATTAACGAAAGACGGGTGTGATGGGTAGAATTTCCTCGAAGAAACTGAACAAGCACCGAAGTCTCAGGGGTATTAAAAGAGTGTGAGGGCGGTGGATGGTTGACGAGAAAAAAATTAACTATGGGAGGACGGGGGGATTTGATATTTATGAAGGAATGGAAGGGGCTGATAGTGTTGACGGACGAGTAAAAGAGAGACTGTCGAATCACTTTCTAAGCCACAAGAACGAAGGCGATTGGAAGGATACGTGAGAAAGGAAATTGTGGAGATGGCGGTGGGTGGGAGAGGAAAAAGGAAAGAAGAGGGAAAGGACGACAGGAAAAAGTACTGAAATACTTGTCGGGTGGGGAGAAAGGGGACACACCATAACGCCCATAACGCATTCACACACACACACTCGCAAAACCTAGTCTGCGATTCCGTACCAGTACTAGTACACCCATAGGGGGGACATGGCATAAGGGACAGGCTGCAAGTACCGGTACCGGTATCCGGCCAAGAATTAACTTTGAGAACGGAATCTACCTTCAGTACCGGTAATCAAGAAGCCTACGGCAATCAAGAGGAAGGGGGGGAGACTCAACTTCTCTCTGGGCAACCCCACCGTATGAGCTCAAGAATTATCGCACTCGCAGTGAATCGTACTGCGTCTGAAGTACGGGTACCGGTACATGCTTGCGGTCCGCAACCTGCGGACCGGAACGAGGTCTACCCGTATGATACTTGTAACATTGTGCATCTCCATCCGCGATTCGACCGCCCTTACACGAACAGCTCTCCGTAAATCGCTCCCAATTCCCCACTCGCCCGCCCACGACACTCGACCATATTCACCTTCCGCAGTCTGCTCCCCGCACATCAACCCCTGATCGGGGGGGTCTATCAGTCTGTCAGTCATACTGGGTGCTTTACCGCCATCGGTCCCCCCCCAAACTTCCAAATCAAAAAACGCCATTCATAACTTATTGCCACACAGGTGCTTGTGCCAGAGCACAACCCTGCACGAGTACTCGAGTACAAGTGCCGCATTCACAATTATTGAGTGCTCCTACCGTACTAGTACTTGAACGGCTGTACCGGTATGCATCCCCCCACCCCTCCTTTCACCCAGAGTGGGATCGGGCCTGGGGTTAAATTTCCACCTTTCTTCTTCCCACGGGAAATTGGCCATCCTCGCCGGAATATACAGTACCGGTAATTGCATATTCCGACCCACCCGACCAATCGGGACCATGCAATACCAGTACTCGAGTACTAGTACTCGTACAAGTACAGTACAGTACTTGTACCCAAAGATTAAACTCCTAATACGTACCGCCGTTCCTCCAAACGGTACTCGAGTACCGAATCAATTCATCGACTTTTCCCCCCTTTTACGTGCCACCCCCCTCCGCCCAACACAACGCCCTCCTTCTCGAAAAAGAACGAAGGAAGCCCGAGGCCGCACTCGCATCACGCGCTGATTCCTCTTTAATTTTCCCACTTCAGGGATTGTTTGTTTGTTGTGTTTGACAATTGCCACCGGATTAGGCTAGCGGTCAATCACCGTTTTTCTCTTTGCGGCCTCACATGGCAGTTACCGAGCCAATAGCGCAGGGGTAAGGATATTGCAACAAGTGCGGCCCCCTTTTATCCGTAGATCAAGATTCCATTGTTGATGAAAAATGTTCAAGAAACGTAAATTCCAATGTCCCCCATTCTCCGATCCAGATCGCCCCTGCTCCCAGTCTACGGTACGGTACTTTAACACTCAAAAACCGCACCGAGCGACGGTGGCGACAACGGCATCCTGCGCGTCACCATTCATGACCCAGATGATTTCCGTTGCTGCCACCGGCATGATACAGGCTTCGACAGGTGGTAGGACGAGAGCTGGCGGGTGACGAACAGGGATCAGTAACGGGTCCATTATTTTTTCCGGTTACCCTACCTTGATGAATTATCTCCTTTTTTTGTCCGCCAGATACCCCTATCCGTCAACCGCCGGCTTTTGTCGTGCCCACTGCTGAGGGCTCTGCACGGCTGTACCTCGCCTGCTCGCTTTAGCAAACCCATTGTGTGGGATGGTATCATAAGAAGGGTGAGCTTGTCACCCCTGTTCACCGTCACGAAGACACATCAAGTCCACAGTTATCTTACCAGCACAGCACAGTACTGCACTTGCACTCGTACAGTACCGTACTTGCAGCTTCCGTGCCTCCCAAGACAGAAATTGAGGGTTTGGTTCTCATGATTGGTGGCTTCTCACTCTGTGAACAAGGGCAAAATTTAGCCTCTTCTCCACCATACTGTACCCCTGATCCACCGACGACCGTGCAGACTCGGCGCGATTGAGCACTCGAGCACGCAAGTACTGTACAGTAGGAATGCACTGAGACACCAAGATCGATGCTCTTGATGTCTCAAACGCGAGATCTATGGTCGGCCGAGAACCGGATACAAGTACGGGCATTTCCCATGAAGGCGTTATTTCCCGGGTTTCCCTCACCCATACCTACGATTGGGGGAACAAAAAGCAGCAATAACCGCTGGCAATTGTCCCCCTTCCCGGTGTTGGTTATCCCTTCGAGTGAGTGGTTGTGAATGGATCAGCGATGTCTTGGCAGGGTTTCGTATCAGACTTAATTTCCTCAAAGGAGCGGTCATCGGTTCGAAGAAACGGGTCTTGGCTCAAATTCCGGCGCTGGCGCTCATTTCAACGGTCGCGGGCTGATTGGCCATATTTTCCATGCCTGGCTTCTTGGAAAATCGTTGGATCCTTGGCAACGGGGGGGGGGCGTGGAATGAGCTTGAACCGAGTGAGGATTGGTGAGCAATTTTACCCATCCATGGCATGGTGAGCGCTGGTTCACAAGGGAATCCTTTTTCCTTTCCTGACGGTTGCAGACACCCGTTCGACAGGCTGTGGAATACTCGGAATATGAGGGATCATCATCACCGCCATGCGGCGTCGGGATATTATCGGGTACCTGCTGGAAAATATCTAACTTTTGTTCGTTTCCCTCCGTGAGTTTAGGCTTTACTGAATTTAAGCAACATCCTATGCCCTCTACTTGTATCGCCTCGTCGTGGTATCACCCGCAACAAGACGCCCTTCAATCCCCACAAATTGCTGTGCGGTGCCGCATCATACCCACTTTATCAACTCGACCCTTCCTCCGCTCCACATCAGCCAACGAAACTTTTCAAAGTTCAAAACGGTGCCAAATATATGACATCAAACCTCTCCTCCTACACGATGCCTGCATTGGGCTTCTCCCCCGCCACTTTTGCTCTCGGTACGGTACGAGTACGGGCGCTCCGGGCCAAGCAACGACCCGGCTACCGCCACTGTCACTCGAGGCTGCGAGAAACGAGACGAAACGGAGCTCTTCACCGTTCGGGGTTTCCAGCGATCACTCAGCTTAGGGCCGGTGTTGGCGCCGGGTAGAAACCGTTAATTCCATGAGCGCCGGTAGATCCCCGGGATTGCTGAGAGCGTGCAGACGGTGCGGTCCGGTACTCGGAAGGATATACTACAAGTACAAATATCCACGCACGAGGATTAAAGATATTTATTTACTCGTGGCGGGCGGGGGGTACCCGGAAACTGGGGATCGCAACATATATATCGCAATAAATTCCTGCGTATCTCAGCTCTCACATAGATTCGCGATCCCTGTTCTCGGGCACTTCTTGCCTGCTGCTCGTACTGTACTGTACTGCGAGCTCTAGGGTATGGGCGCATGGGTGATCGGAGGGGCCAGGGATTATAGGCACTGTATCAAATCTGCTTTGCTTGCTTGAGCAATTTCCATGCCAGACTCATTCTCTTACGGTATTTTCTGTATGATAGGTTCAGGTCCAGAATTCTTGGCTGCCCCATCATCCACGTCCATATCCGAGTATGGTAAATTATCTGCGCAGCTGAGCTCTCAGGCCACCGTACGGTAGGCCCAGTCTCGGACGTCCGGGTGCTTCACGCCGGATACTTTTAAAATGGTATCCGACACCAAAAACCGGTCCTCTTATCTCTTATGATATTCCCATTTTTCCCCTCCCTCTTACCTTGGTGTTACACACGAAAAGGGATCGTCTGGGCAAATTCGCATGTGTTCGATCTGTCTCCTTTTTTTTTTTTTTTTTGTTAAGAATGCCTTTCTTACCGTTTTTGTCCAATGCTCGAACTCACAGGATTAAAGGTGAAAAACCCATTTCAGCCACACACTCCATTTGACCATTCCATCGCCATTTCCGGTTTGACCAGATGATTGCTGCCCTACCCTATTCTTAGCCGGTACTCGAGTACTGACCAGATAGATATCTCATTCGCGGTATCAGTCGGAAGAGGAAGGTAGAAAAAAAGAAAAGAAAGAAAAAAACTCGACTGCCGGTACCGTATGAACATTGCAGTGGCGCCGGGGTATGTGTGACAATTATCCATCACCTAAATTTACCGGTATCAAGCTCGTGAAGGAAGGTGGAGGTGGAGGTGGAAGGGGGAGCACAAGTACTCGAGTACTCGGGTACAGTACAGCATCACCATTCAGAATCCAATCGACTTTCCTTTTGAAACGCTTGATCGGTCGATCGACCGGGTGATTGTCTGGTTTTTTATTGTAATTTTTATTCCAACCCACACCCTTTCAAATACATCGCGATAAGGAGGGGAGGAAATTTTTTTACTAATACTTGTACTGTAATCGTACGGGTATTATTATTATTATTATTTTTCCTGGGAAGCAAGATAAATAAAATAATATTTCCTTGGATAACGTTTGGAGCATCTGACCGGGGACCGGAAAGAGAAGAGAAGAAAAGAAAAAGAAAAAAAATCACGCCAGACGGCAGCTAACTTAAAACCCTATTCACTCACCGTTCTAGACGCGAATGAAAAGGGTAAGTTACTTATGATATTATGATAGACGTCCATTTGCGGCGGGCGTGCAGGGTCTGCTTTAACGGAGGCTGTGATGAGATACCGTACTGTACAGTACTGGTCGAGGGTATCATACCGCAACCGGGAAACACTTCATTCAGCAGGCAGAACGCCATAAACATGGGAAAGGTGCGATTTATTTTATTTCCATTTTCTTATAATTGCCTAAGGGATAAGGGTCTTTTATTATTATTTTCAGTCTAGTGCTCATCGGGATTGTGCACCGTTTGTACAAACACTACTGTAATCGACTGGATTTGCTGGTACGAAGCAGTACAGTAAAGTAGTTTCCTGTGGACTGGTTATGCACGATGAACACACAAACACACATTGCTTGTTGGAAGGTTGCAATGAACCCCCCCAGTGTACATGTACAGTAAGAAGGGAGAGATAGACTATCAAGTGTCCGGATTCGGACAGTAATGTACTGTACTTGTATCGTATGTTGCGTGGTAACTTAATGCCTTACCGGTACTGGTGTGGTGTGTGCTATATGATATAATTATTATAACCTACCGGTAGCGTACGTACGCTTCCTACGTGATATTCGGAATACCTCAAGTCTGAACTCGCCAATGCTTTTAAGTTCGGGTGGTCCCCTCACGCTCGGATTAACGTTTGGAAGTTTTGTGCAGTACAGTACAGGTTTTTGCGGTGGTGCACTGTACTGTACTGTACTGTACGGTACCGTGCCGGTTCCCGATTCGGGGGGGGGGGGATGGTGCTGCTTCTGTGGTTGTATTTGGATAATGAACGTCCTTGGTTTGTTATAACTGTGGTGAGAGCTTGGGGAGGAGGCCGGTTCCGCGGTCGTGCTGGCGCCTGACTGCTTACTGTACCTCTTGCGAGAAATTTGGGCTGTCAGGGTTGGGTTGTGGGGAGGGGAAGGGGGATAGGAAGAGTTATGGTGTCACCTAGCGTTGGAGGATTGAGTTTCTCCTCCCTACACACACTTATTGTGTCTGGCTGGCTGGAGCTTGTGGCCGAGTTGGTAGGTTCTGTCATATAATACCTTTTCACGGCCTGTCCATTCATTCATTCATTCACGACGTCGGGTTTCGGGTGGGAGAGTGGCCGATTAACACAGTGCTCGAGACCGAACGCTGAATTCCGGAAGAAATAATCAGTATTGGGAGGTATGATTGTCATATTTACTCATCATCATATCATACGCGGATTTTTTTTTTAAGAAAAACCAACGTACGAAACCCGGAACCGATGGAGAAACTTCCAAGATGGCACCGGAGAGGGTTTACCTTACCGCAATCGACGTTTGCTGATCTGCCGCGCTCGACCGCGCCGAGCCTTTGATACCCTTGCGCTTCAGATATAATATATATCTTGCATAACGACGAAATAAATAAATAAGTAGAAAAACGGAAGCGGAGGAATTGCTGAAGATACCAGTATAGTACAGTTACACACAAAAACACACCCCTCGCGTGACGGGTTGAATGAATAATTATGATACTAGTAGACATTTCCTCCCCTTCCCTTTTCTACGATACTGGAGGACTTCCCGTAGGAATTTAGAAAAATCTGGAGTTTGGACCAAAAATCTGGATCACAGACCATTCCCATAGAGAAAATGGTTTTCTAGACTGCTAGATTGTGATGATTATAGGAAAATGAAACCTCACATATTATTCTTAATTACAACCAGGAAACAATCTCTCATGGGATTTTGCCACATGGCAGCTTGTCAATTCTGTATTTTGTGTATTGAGAAATAATGCCTGAGTTGTGGGGAATTGTGGCCCCATGGCATTTTGACCAATAGTATCCATGTTTCTAGATTTCTGGACCTTTCAAATCCGAACTGAGGGGGGGGGAGGGGGTAGTTCAGATTTTAGGAAATTTAGAATTTAGAAGATGGTTTTCCAGATTTTAGTGTGAAAATATGCTAAGACCCTTTCTAAATCCTTTCCAGATTCCTACGGGAAGTCCTCCACTACCCCTTCAAAATTGCAGTCCGAAATTTTAAGCATCGTATCATACAGCGATGGTGAATAGTGGCAATATCCTCCTAAGTTACATGGCACTCCCACACCCATCCTATAAAATAGAATAAAATAAAATTCCATATCCCGACGACGCTCATTGCTATCTTTCCTTCTTCCGTTCCCGCGGCGCATAGTACTCGTACAGTACTGTGATATCATATATCAATCACTCACTCACTCCTACCTACCTACTTACCTACCCACCTACCCACCGTACTCCCTCCCTCCTCTACTCGGCATTTGAGGAAGGCTCATCAACCATTCGGCTTTCTATTATCCTTTTCTATCATTATTGTAGAATGTTTTTCTAAATATCTGATGTGTGATGTCATACCGTAGCACATTCCCCGCACTTTGGACCCCACACACACAAACCGGGCGGTGGTATCTTCACGCGGTTCCGTGACGGATTGTAGTAGAACGTGTTTCTCTGGGGGTGAGGCCGACGCTGCAAGGATTTATCATACCTCTACTCTTATGCCTGGTCACTAAGTATCACTCGAGGTGGGTACGAGTATGGTGTCGGTGGTTAGGAAAGGGTATCGCCCGGGCGACGCTTTTTCTTTATTTTATTTTTACGGATGGGTCGTTGTTGGGACGGAAGCGCTGATGGGCACACTGACGTCTATCTCGTGCTCTTGGGAAAAAAAGAGTGGGGGTATGTGTGCTTTCTGGGGGAAAAGGTGGAACTTGTGCTTACTATGATACCGGTGTCACTATCGTGGTATTTTTCTTTTCCTTCTTTTCACCTGGGGTTTTCAGTGGATGGGTGTATATAATCTTCTCTCGGAGGTTTTGCCTCCCTTAGGATAAAAAGTAGTTTTTCATATTCTGGCAGTTTAAATTATCTCATCCTATGCTAACATGTCATGTATCATACCAGCCCCCCCCATCATCAACCTTGCCCAATAATCCCAGACTCCATCATTCGGTTTAAAAGGTAACAAAGCAATAACGAATACTGTGTACGGTATTCCTATTTCCTTTATTCTAAACGGGAAAGGAAAAAAAAAAAAAAAAGAGGCTTAATCTAACTTCTAAACCATTCGCCTAACCAAGCCCCAGCGTTTATGCTATGCATGAATTGTGTCTGCCTATGCTTTGAACAGAAAGTAACGGGAGATTGTGCAGTGGAAAGAAGGAAATAGATAGAGGAATAGAGAAAAAAGCAGCGAATGATGGCAATGTGTATCCATTGAAGCAACTCGGGTTGCATCCAGTAGAGTCCGTGTGTGAATTTATGATGATGGCTGCACGGTCGTCTCCGAATTCACTGGGACACCCTCGGGGGTGGCCGGAGCTCCGGTTGTGCTTGAGGACATCTCTCCTAGAGCGGAGCATTGTCCCCCGCAATTGGCACCATGGCTGCAACTACCTCAGCAGCAGCAGCTGTTGGTTCCTGTGTGGCCGTTTCTTCTCCGGATGGCTCAAAGGTTACGGCGGGCTCGCCAGGGGCAGTTGCCTCTGCAACCACGGCCCCCTCTCCGATAGCAGCTCCCTCTGTAGCTGTGACAGCTTCCTCACCTGTAGTCACCTCCCCATTTGTAACACCTTCTCCACCTGTACCTCCCTCCCCATCCCTGGCCTCCTCCCCACCCCCGGCCGCAGTGCTACTACCTTCCGCATCTCCATCATCAGCCTTTTCCTCCACTTTTTCCTCCAACTTTCCCGTCTTCTCCTTCAGCAACTTGGCACACACCTCATGCCCTCTCTCAAGCGCTAAGTCCAACGGTGTCCTACCCGCCTTGTCCTTACTCTCTGCCTCAACCCTCTCATCCGCGAGCAACAACTTCAAAACTCCATCCTGAGCATAAGAAACTGCAAGATGCAATGGTGTGCATTCATCGCTATCGGGGTTCGCGGCATTAACGTCGACTCTTGGATCTTCCAGAAGGATTTTCACGATACTTTCGTACCCGTCTCTTGCCGCAATATGTAATAAGGTGGAGTCAGAGCTGGAGTGGCACTTCATGCCAATACGGGGATCGGCAAGTAATATTTTCACGGCTTCATCTTTACCACGTCTTGCGGCGCGGCCGATGGGGGTTAGGCCGCGCTTGTCGGCGATGTTAGGGTCTGTGTTTGGGTGCTCTAGGAGTGGTTTTATCGCCGCATGGTTTTCCCAGGTTGCCCGGTGGAGTGGCGTGTACCCGCCGCTGTCCTTCGGGTTGACATCAATCGTGGGTTGTTCTAGGAGGGCGAGGACGGTCGATGGATTTGGTGCGCGGCTGGCTTTGTGTAGTGGTGTCGCTAGGGATTTGTCTGGGTGGTTGATGTCTATTCTACCATCTTTTAGGAGAAGGCGGAGGGCAGCTTCGTGGCCCCCGTGGCTGGCATAGTGGAGGGCTGTGGACCCACTATTGTCGAGCGCTTTTAAGTCGAAGCGGTTGCCTGATAAGAGGAGCTGTATGAGGTCTGTATTACCGGAGTGGGCTGCCATGTGTAATGGTGTATTTCCGTCCTCGTCGACTCTGCTCACGTCGATTCGGCTGTCGCCTAAAAGGAGCTGGACGATTTCTTTGTGGCCCATTTTAGCGGCATGGGACAAGGGAGTTATTCCCTTCCCATCACCGGTGTTAATCTCCACCCTTTTATCCTCCAATAGCGCCTCTACGCACCCTAGATGTCCTTCGATCGCCGCGACGTGCAATGGCGTTTGGTCGTCGTGCCCCTTAGCATTAACCTCCACCTTTGGATCGCTCAGCAGGGTCCGAATAGCCTCCTCGTGCTTCCCGTAAACCGCCAGATGCAATGGCGTCTTGTTATAATAGTCGTGGGCGTTAATGTCCACATCGTCTCTTCCCACAAGCAACTTTACCGCCTCAACACGCCCATACTCGGCCGCCAGCGACAGCGGTGTCCTGCTCCGCCGCTCTTCGCGAACTGGAGTGATCCCGCACTCCAGCAGCGTACGCACCACCCTCCCGCTCTGCGTTACCGTTGCGTGACTAATCAACACTTGATTCTCTACGGCATTGAGGATACCCCTATCTAGCAGTCTTTGCACTTTGACTTTATCTTCGAGGTCGGCAACGCAGTACAGTGCCCGAACGGCGTGTTTGTGGTGGCGGGTGCGGAAAAGGGCATCGATGAGGACATGGTTTAGGAGGATTGCCAGTCGGCGGTTTGTTCGGAGAAGGGCGTTGAGGTCAGGGAACTCGAGACCGTGCTGGCAGATTTGAAGGATTATCTCGTTTGGGAGATCGAGGAAGGACATTGCTTTCTTTCCTTGTTTCTTCTTCCTCGTTGGAGATGGAAGAGGTTTTTTGTGGTGAGTTGTGGGGTTGTGTCACTTGTGTGGGGTTGAGGTTTCTGGGTCATGCTTTGGTGCGCCAGTAGCTGATGACGGGACAGGGCTTGGCCAAGACTTTCAGGCAGCTACGTACTATCACCCCAGTGGCGTTGGATTATCACGTGATTTCAGCTTTTACTGTTCCTGAGGCGGAGTGACGCAGTGAGAATATCGTCAAAAGTGATGCTAACAGGGTCTTCTTTGTTGCCTATGGATGCTGCGGTAAGCAAATGGGCCTACGTGCCTCCGAAGGTTATAGTGACAGGCTCGGGGGAGAGACAATGTCTACCGTGTATGTACAAGCAGTTTTCACAGTCAATCAATTCTCCTTCCCTCCGAGCCTAGGGATCAAGATCAGACTCCCGTACTACTATACCGATGCCTATATGCCTTTTCGAATGGAACAGTATATAGGTCGGTTTCGACTGGCAATAACCAAATAACACCGCCTACGAAGGTAGTAGGTAGAGGTTGTTTCTGTAGCTTGGGCGGGTTATGTATTCTATCTGACGACACCCGAGAAACCCAATTCTATCGAGATAGCTAATGGGTAATATTAGGTGCAAATTTTTAGTTGATAGTATGGTTGCTGACAGATGAAGTTTACCGGAGAGTCACCATGTCCTTGGATCGAGAGCCACAGAAAGTCACTGGCAGTTGTGCAATGGTGCCATATTTTGAATGGTCTCTTTTTGTAAAGTAGGCCATGTGCGTATCCCCGACCAACCCCCCCCCCAAAAACCCGTTCGCTGAAGCAGTATAGATATCATGAGCATATCCATACCTAGAGCATGAGGAATCAGAAGACACCCATAACCACCAATACCGGTGTAAGGTACTAGCGCGATCACGTCTCCCGTCCAAGATTTCAAACTCAATGTCCTGCGGTATTAAACAGCTCGGTAATCCTCTGACCCACACAATCAAGCGGTGCATCCGGCTGCGCCAAAATGAAACCTATTTCGCACCACAGGGTCAACTCTTCTATTATTATCCAAAAAATAATTGCACCGCTCCGCGACCCTCCGCATCAGCCCGCATAATACAAGACTGTCGCGTTTCCAGGCGTTAACGCATTGATGTATATATCGCCCTGCTCCAGTGGGAGCCTTAGGGGCCAGAATATGACCGCTCGTTCCGTACCCGGAACTGCCCTGGCAGCTCACGCGGGCATCTTTAGCAGGATTCCGGCTATATTCTCCAACTGCTCTAGGGTAGGAGTGGTCTGTAGCCGCTTTCTGCTCACAGCACCATACATGTTGGCACTCGGATCCCTATGCCTCCGAAGTTTCTTCCCTTGCGGCCCACCCCCACCGCCCTGTGCATTAGTTCCATGTGGTGGAGTGTCCAGTAAAGTGACATGTCTATTGCGTTGGAATAGACTCTGGTATTCTGTAGGAGGCCGACTGCGTCCAGTGCCCGCTTCGGATTGCTGCGATCAATGGAGTAGGGTAGCCGCCGGAGCCGAGACCAGCTTCCTGGGCTTTGTCGAGCAGAATTTTCGGCATACCCTCATAGCCCATATGGTCTGCCAAAACTAAGGGTGTAACTCCCATGGGGCTATAGATCAGGAGGTCAATGCAGGATTATCTGGTAGAAGATATACAATCCTCTCGTCCCCAAACGCAGCTGCCACAAAGGATAGCGGCTCTTTTGGCAATCTCTCGCGTTGATGTTAACTTCGGACTGAGCCAGCAGCAGTTCTACCACTTCTGCACACCCATACATAGCCGCCCGTAGTAACAGTGGCAATTGCCAAGGGATCCTATGAGTAGGGGCTCCTCGAATCCGTACCGACGCCGCACTCCAGGAGTGTACCGACCATCCTTAGACTCTGGGTTACGGCCGCATAGCGGAGCATGGGGTATGGGTGCGGGCGGTAAAAAATCCCGTAAGCCTCTACCGAGGAGTCCTCTGACGCAAGGCGACCTTCATGATTAGTGGCGTATCATACATATAATACAGTACCGGTAGCAACCGCCTGCCGGGCCCCCAGGGTCTAATGCAGAACAAGGCTTCGGTAAAAGCGCTCTGCGAGACTTCGGCCCATCCCCACGAGGAGGTTTTGGTCAGTGAGAAAGAAGCCGGGCTTCTCGGATTTATGGAGGGCAATCTCGTTCGGTAGGTTGAGAAATGGCATGGTGGTCAGCCCATCATTGTCTGTGATTAGTGAGTGGGGGGTTAGAGCTGTCAGCTGAAGTGTTGTTGTATTTGAGTTTTCAGACAGCCGAGAGGGCATCGGCCCCCCTACGGTACTCGTACAGGTGCAAGTTTTGTCGCACCAGCTAAGGCGCCATACTTGCACTCGGTTCGGTAATGTAAGTTTAGCACTCAAGTGTGCTAATGCCCAGTACCGTACCCTACCAGCACAATCACATGCACCCATACAGCGGTGAAACCTCCGTCATCCTCAACCGAAGGCTTAACATCCCGTTTAGTCCAGGATCTGCTCGGTGCTGTCATAATCAAAATACCGTATCGGGCAACGGTTTCCAAGACTGAGGATTACCGGCAGTCATTAAGGGGGGAACGCGAATCACAGTTCAAGCAACTCTCGGAGTGCGTTTGGGAGAGAGAACCAGACAAAAAATTACTATGAGACTTAGCGCTACCATTAACTGGAGGGGAAGTTAGCTAGTTAGAAGACATCTGTGGAGGTTGGGCTCGAGATTCGCCTCTATCATAGAGGTAAAATCTCAAACCTCGGGATATTCCCACAATACCAAAGTTTCCCAATACCTGTGGCCCATTATAATGCCGAACACCTGAACTATCCCCGAAATTGCAACATTGGTTGAAACCTAGGTTTCCGCCCCCCAAGCTCCAGCTATATCTTTCTCCCTACTCGAGTAAAAGTCCCACACCATACAAGTAGATTTCTTCCGTGCGCAAATCGCAAGGATATCCAAAACCTCCCACCTCCCACCACAAAACTTCACCCACTAGTCCCCAGAATCCGGATATAGTTCCATGTTTTCCAACCCGTGTAGAGCCCGGTATCCCGAACTCATTCCCATTAAGGTAGGGGCGTACGTGTGATAGATGTAGACATAGGCACACATCACGATGCACACCCCGCATAGTATGCTTGACTGCTATAGCCCAGAAACTGCCGAATGTTAGATATTTGCAAGGGGCCCACACCAAGTTACGCCTCCAAGCCCTACTACCATACAGCGCTCCCCAGCAGCGACGTCCAATACACGCGAGAACCTTTGGCTCCCCGGTGGTCCAAACACCGAGTGACTTTTGGTGACACCGCCTAATCGGTATGATACCTATACTCACAGCCCCATCCAAAACCTGCCCTTCGCCCCTTTACCTTTGTTCAGGTAGTTCCGGGGAGGTGTGTCAAGAAGTCAGCTACCAGGCTCAGACCCCGACATACGTACAACATCACGAAGGTCATTTGGTAATAACATAGTTTACCATTAGAAGACCTCCCGGCACTGCGTATGATATTGCGTGAGCTATCGAGCCACGCGTATCCACCCCCAGCCGGTACATCACACCAGGACCCCCAACTCTCTGCATCCGCGGGTCTCCTAAAGAAACTGCGTCAGTTCCCCATAACGACAAGTCACTCGTGGTGCACAATAGTATCTATTTGCAAATTTGTTCCACAATTGTCTAAACAATATAAAGCAGGCATTTCACCAGATTACTGTTAGTACCAGTAATGATAGACAGTCTACCGGAGCCTGCTACCCATAATCGGTAACGGCTTGCCCCATGTCGGCGCTGTAAGGTTTGGGCTGGGATTATTACTGAAGCGCAGTGTACGAGTACCGGTACTAGTTTGCATTGTCGGCTAAGAAAATTGTAACCCACCAAACACCCACGCCATCACAGGTCTAAACTCAGAAATATGATGCCCCTTTCCGCCGCTGGTGTTACATCAACAACAACAACAACGCATATGAGATCTTGAAAGGTCGATCGTTGTCCTTGCCAGTTGTATTGGGTTTTCAATAATGCCCCAGTAGGTACTATAGAGGTGTAATCGGCTAGAGCATGTTATGCGATGCCATCAAGCCACTGGCATAAAGCATCACTGAACAGATCGATTTTCTTGTGGTGGATTTTCTTCGGCAGGATGAGTGTTGTCTTGATCAATAAGTGCCCTTGGTGTTCGGGGTAGGCCCCATATGGAGCACGGGCATTGGCATCTTGGTAAACGTGGGACCCCGAAATTCTACATACCGTATTTTGATAAACAACCCCGGGGTTTCCTGCCGCACACGGCAAATGCCTAGTGCAAGCTGGGCAGTTCGTACTAACCGATCGCCGAACCGCTATCGGTTACACAGCACAGGTGATAGGGCGCAGAGAGTTAACTTAATGGCCATCGCACCCCTGAACACCAGTTCCACAGGGACAAGGGAGGGGTATTAGCGTCTCGTTGGTCCATTGATTGCTCCCTGAGGCGCCCGAACTTGATGCCCGATGCCTCGCCTTCTCTATTAGCCCATCATGTCTATAGAAATGTATAGTGTGAGTATAATAGAATGGGACCAATTGGATGCACAGTACGGTAGGTATGATCCGTGGTAAACTACCTCGCAAGGAGGGATGTTGGAATATGCGTGAAAATTGAAACAAGAGTGAGGGATACGCCTCCAACAAAGCTTTTGTATGCCGGTACCGGTAATCCGAGTGAGAAACAATGATAGATTCTCAGGGGCACTCCTAACATTGCGTCAGCGGCGGAGACAGTCGGTGTTTTAACATTTCAATCCTCCGGAGTTCCCCTCCAAAAGCACGAGGGGCCCAGCTGCCGGCTCAAACCATGCCGTGGTGCTGGGATCCAATTAACGTTGCGGGATTGGGTCTGCCGTTGAGTGGGTTATTTTCTTTTTTTTTTTTTTTTTTTTTGGTCCATTGCTTCTTTTCTCCCTTCTGCGGGGATGCTCATCCCCCTTTCCCTCCCCCTTCCAGATGCGGGCGAGGCATCCGGGTACCGTACGGTATTTATCTCAAACGGCATTTACGGTAGATTAGACGCAAAGCGAGGCATTTCGCCTCTAAAACAAGAGGAGAGAAAAGAGATTCATACAAGAAAGAGAGGTCATTCGGTATGAATCCAAATGGTGCTGCGGGCTGCAGCCTCCGTCAAGCTGATCACTCCTGAAGTCCTTTCCAACGTCCGTGTCTGCGGAGTGACTTGGTCTGGACCAGTACCAACGAGCCTGAGATAGATTGTCTAATCCTGGCCCATACCGTGTTACCGAACCCCGTTATTTTGGCCCGGAATGGGTGACTTCTGCGGGCCGTGCAGAGTGCAGTGCACATCGCGGCTGTACGAGTACTCGAGTACTCGAGTACTACCGGTGGTACCGGTACTAGCCCCAACGGCACTCGAAGTTGGGATGGTCTGGGCTTGTCATTTCAAGAGACCAAAAGCTTCTGGCAAGACTGTGGAATCTGGTGCATTCCGCTTGTGAGGCACCGCAAGTTACAAGTATCAATACCAAATTGTGTGGTGCTTTCAGGTACCGGTAAACTCTCCCCCCTCTCTCGGAGAAGTGAAGAAATCAGGATTCAGTTACTGCATACGTGGTCCTAGTTTGTGCATAAAATCCAACCAACCACGGTTCCCGATGGCCCAACTTTTTGAGGTTTTTTTTTTTCCCCTCCCTCCCACTCCTGAAGAAAAATGTGAGCCAGCCAGCCCCCCCTATCGGCTTCGGAGACACAGCAAGAGAAAAAAGGAAAGCTTGAGGAGAGGAGGAAGAATACCGTACTGGTAGGAAGATACGGTACAAGGTGAGGGGATAACAATAAACAAACAAACCAGGCTCTGAGAGGCGCGAAGGGCAGTTCTCATTCAAAGGCACTGATAGCATCACCCGTCTTCGTTGCTAAGGGGATTTATTTGTACGGAAGGAAAAACAAAAGTTTGTATAGCACACGCGTGGCTGCCTCACCGTTTGCGCTGCTCTCCTTCTTTTTCCTTTCCATTGGGACCATCCCATACAAATACAATTTTCCTCATCTTTTTCCTCTCCTCTTCAGCTTGTCTCTCCCTACATCACCTCTGTCTCCTGCTTAGTGCTTCCAAGGGCTTCTCCATACTGACTGGTAAGGCCAGATCACCCTTGCCGCGCAATACCAATACCCCCTTCTGTCTGCTTCCGGTACCGGTATACATCCTGTCTTTCCTCCCCCTTACCCGCCGATTGGCGGTATAAGCTTAACAATCACCTTCATCTACCGTGGAATCAGCTCTCCCACCACTGGCGTTGCTCCGCTATCGCAAGGAACAATCATAACAACGCACCCTCCTGCATACCACCACACAAACCGTCGACAACAACCCCCACCCCCCCCTCCTTCCCCCATCATCAACAAGTTCCTTTGCATATACACGCCTTATCTCATTTTGTCCCCAATCTGCAGTCTCCAGTGTTACCCCTTCCCCCGCTAAATCTTGGGCAGTACGATGTCAGAGGACTCCCGCGGTCGCATCCAAGACCCTCGAATAATCACTCGCTCCGCACGGAAACCTTCCCCCGGTTTAGCCGCAAGGATTAAAATGCTCGAAGCCGACGCGGAGAAACGCAACTGTTCTTCCACCATCAACAACAACAACAACAACAACAACAACAACAACAACGTGATGAGCAAAGGCAGGCTATCACCTTCCCCCTCACCTCATCGTAAAATTTCGAGTGCTCCCTCCAACGGAAGCCTCTCGGCTGCCCCGAAACTATCGAAAGAGTTGCCCCCCACGCCTGTCGAGGACGATGAGGACGACGAAGAATTCCACACTGTTAAAGGGGATGGGGCCAGCAAAACCGGAGATAACGACGATGACGGTTCCTCTAGTGACGGAGAAGGGGGCCATAACTTCTCTTCTGCCCTCCAGTCGCCAAACAATTATGATGGCACTTTCAACCACGCTTCTATTATGATGACCTCCTCGCCGCCGGGCTCTGCGAGACCGGATACCTCATATTCCACTTGGACCGAGGATTCCCGTAACGCCGCCCGCTTCTCAAATGGCACCACCCTGGAGACACGGCCAGAAACGCAGACAGAGACACGGCACAACAATAGCCCTTACATAACTTCATCTACGAGTCTACAGAGACGTGCCTCCGTGTTTTCGTTGTCCCGCGTTTCTTTTTCGGCACAGCTCTCACGACTGATATCGTTATCACTCCCTCTGTCCGTGGATATTTCCTCTAAAATACGGCAATTACCGACTGCGAGGGAGGCCTGCAATGCGCTCATCTCGGCCGGAGATCAGATTAGTCGTTGGATTGATACCGCCAAGAAAGTCTTGCGTGGTCTAGATGCCGAGGATGATGTTGAATGGGCGGCTCAAGGGCGCGAGTCTCTTAACGAGGTTGACGCTGCGATTGGCAAGTTCTCTGGTTTGGTCAATGTTTACGTCGAACTCATTGACGAGCTACAGAATAGAGAGGATTCCGATGAGGTGGAAAAAGTACTGGTTGAGATTCTTAAAAGTATGGAAGAGGTTATGGATGGGTGGAATGAGGTTAAGGTCGTCCTGAAGGGTGTGAAGGATCAGGTCGAGACTGCGATGGAATGGACAGAGCTGTGGACCATGATTTTACAAGATATCCAGGCGGAATTGGACGCGTGCCAGACAATAGTCTTTGAAGAGGAGGAAAAGCGACATCGGAGCATGATGGAAGACACCAGCGCAGTGGATCTGGATGCTCTGGAGACCATAATCGAGGAAACGCCTATATCGGCTCTGCCCAAAGTTGCCAGGTCCGGAGGAGAAGAAGAGAGCTCATTGCTAGGACTGATGGCGAGGATGCAGCCTTTGAGAGTCAGCTTGGACTTCCTCCCCATGAGACTGCAGAGCTTCCAGGCCAGAGCTGAGGGAATCTTTCCCAGCGCCTGCGAAGATTTGGCGGGCCGGCGAAACGCCTTGGAAAAGAAGTGGAAGAAATTGGATAGCGACGTTGAGGGGCTGAAGAAAGAGTTGGGCGAAGACAAATGGGTTGCGCTATTTAGGAACGCTGGCGTGCAGACGGCTAACATGATGTCAAGTGTGGAGAGGAGCCTGAAGAAATTGAGAGACGCAGTTACAGTATGGGAAGAGAGCGAGGGGAGGATCGACAGTGATTTGGCGTTGAAGATTCAGAATTATGAAGCAAAGAAGGTGCATTACGGTACGTTCTCTTTCTTAAGCCTCCTATTTTCATACTAGTGGGCTGACGGGAATATTGTGTAGGATCTGCAATTGAACGGGCGTTAGGACTTATTACCAAGGGAGTCCGTGATAGGATAACCGTTAATGGGGAAATTATTCGTCTCGACGCGGCTATGCGGACACGTTGGAAGGCTCTTGAGGATGGGATGGCTGATATGGAACAGGATATGAATGATCTTGGTTTGAATGTGCAGACACTTCGGGATTCTTTCTCTTCGGTGACCTCCCTTGAGGTACGCTCCTACGGAGGCTCGGGAATAATCACTCCCGGTAGCTCCCCAGCTAGCTCAGTCGTCATGGCTACCTCTCCCGGAGGGATTGAGAGAAAGCGATCGCCTCCGTCAGCTGCCAGGTCGCCAAGTGGAGGTGCAAACGCCCGGCCTAGCCCTCAGCCCAGAGCTAGCTCGATCCCGAAGAAAAGCCAATATGCTAGGCTTTCCTCAACAGGGTCAGTCGTTGGTGCATCGGTACGTAGCCCACTTTCACCCAACACAACTGGGATGGCTAGAGTCTCATCTACCCCGGGAACCTATCAGACTCCACCCGCAGCTCGTAGGTCTTCCTCGTCATCCAGCTCTAGCGGCAAGCCGGCAGACAACCGACCAAGGTGGAACTCCTCAACAAACACCAACGATAGCCCATTCGGGCACAATTTTAAGCCCCTGAACCTCACCACCCCAAGCCCATACCGCAAGAACCTCCCAAATACCAACCGGATAACCAGCCCCACCCTCTCCCTTCCCACCTCCCCCGGAGCCAGCAGAATCCCCGGTCCAAGCCCGCTGACTTCCACATCCCTCCCGGGCTCCCCCCTCCTCCCAGGAGCCCGGAAATCCAGCGGCGGCATCTTTCATAAGTCCCCCAGCCCAGCACCGAGGCTAGCCCCCGCTGCCGGCGGCCGCCAACACCCGGAACTTCGCCGCCAAGCAAGCATGAGCCACCTCCGCCACCAATCTCGTGACCAGACCCACCTCTCTTCGCAGGAGTCTATAACCTTAAGCACCATCTCGCACTCCACCTACGCCGAAGAGAAGGGTCGTGAGAGAGAGGAGCGGCAGGACTTGCGTGATAAGGAGAACGCAAAGCGTTGTGCGAGCAGTAGGCCTGCTAGTGCTATGGCTAGCGCGAGGAGCAATCGTACGAGCATGCTACCGAGACCGACAACACCAGGGTCAGGGTCAGGGTCGGGGGCGTTGGGAGCGGGGAAGAGGAATAGCATGCCTCCTGGGACAACGTTTGCGCAGCAGCAACAGCAGGGGGCGGCGAAGGCAGATAATAGACCGAGATGGAGGTTAAAGTAGTTTAATTCTTTTTTCTTGCCTCTATTGGGTGGGGAAAGTTCTGCTGTGATCCTGTTTTTCTTTGTATCTTATTCATTTTCGCTGTTGGTATTGGTATGCGCTTGCTCTGCGACTATTGGGCAGCGGGGGGGAGGTGCACTTC